ATTTAGTAACACGCAATTCAATATTTATTGAAATTTCCTACGTAATCGCCTCTCGACAAAATGTCAATCTTTGTTTTTTCCGGGAATAAATTTTACTGTTAGATACAGTGGATTCTATCTAATTATAGCGGCATTGTTTGTTTTTTTAAAAGACAGTCTGGCTTGCAGCATATGGGCACACAAGTAAAAACTAATAAACATACATGATGGTATAGATCGAATCGACAATGAAAGTCTAAAAATGTGCATAATCATTACATCTAGGAACAATGGGTTATACCACAATGGTTTCAAAGTGTCTATTGCTTTTTAAGACAGTTTGGCTGGCAGCTTCAAAACTCAAAAATATATAAAATTCATGATTGTATTGGTCGAATCGACAAAGAATGTCTGAAATCCAATACAATTTGCTGTTAATGGGCGGTATTACATGTATGGACCGGAAACTGGGCCCCAATCGTTATTCGTCTTGTTCATATTGTTCTTGTTAAGGGCAAAGCTCTTGAAAGAAGTCCGGGGCACCGCCCATTTGAGTACAATTGATCGACAGGAAACACATGTTTAACTATTCAGAAATAAGATCACGAAGTGGTGGTGATTCTAGACTTCGGTTTTTCGTCCCATCCGACCGGCTATACACTTTTCTTTTTTTCCGGTCCTCCGCCCTGCACCACTGACATGGGAAAACCCTCCCGCAACACCAGGGAGCGATAACGAAGTCCCACTGTATGACGTATGCCAGGCTTCATTAGCCCGGTTGGTGCAGAAATGGAGGACGTTAAACCCCATTTCATTCATTCATTTCAGTCCGGAAGTTGATAGAGAAATTAGGTTTAACTTTCATTCGACACAAACTAGGTCATTTCGGGACTAACACATGATTCAATTTTATTTCAATAATTCGCTTGCGCGTAGGAATTTATAGCAGTGGGATGACCCGGAGAAAACCTACGAGGTTGGACTGGCGACCCTACTCCTTGTCACGTACAACCGGGGAATCGAAAACACGCCAGTTGAAGCAATGACAGACTTTATGATACAGTTAACTCAATGACAGACCCCTCTCCTAAAATTCAAGCAGGTCACAATCGGCACTACAAGATAGTTTGGTTTTCGCAAACGGTTGAGTTTTGAAATAATTTCGCAGTAACCAGTTTGTTTATGGAATTTAACGTTCCCATAGCGGGTCGGGTGTTCGATCCCTGCATTGGCCGAGAAAGTTCATCCAGATTTTCCGGCGTGGTTCTCCCTTGTCAGTGATGCAGGACGGAGGGGCTGACAAGGAAAGCTGTCTAGTCGTTCGGATGGGACGAAAAACCGAGGTCCCGTGTACACATTGGCGTGCACGTAAAAGATCCCTTGGCAGTTGGAATTCGATATAAGAGTAGGCCGTAGTGCCGCTGTCCGGGCAAAATTTCCCTCATAGCACACTGTATGGCGTATGCCCGTCTTCATTAGCCCAGGTTAGGAGCAGAACAGTAGGACGTTAAACTCCATTTCATTTCATTTCATTTCAGTTCCCATAGCGGTCGATCCATCCTCCATATTTACCCTTTTCAGAAAGGTTGTCATTTATCTGTATTAAAAATGAATGTCGATTTGCTTTGCTAGCTGTTCTCAGTCGATGAGTTGATATATCTATCCAATCGTATCGTTGAACCACTCGCCATTCTAAATACATGCCCGTAGTTTCAAAAATATCCAAAGTACACGCAACTTCTGAAGTATATACTAAACTATTGCCACTCTCGAGATGGAGGGAAAATAAAATACACGGGGTTTAAGGTCCAATTTTTTCTCCACCTGGGGGGTGGATGGCTGCATGGTTAGCATGTGCGCGCTGTACCATAAAGTATGTCATTGAGTCAACTGGTGTGGTTTCGATTCCCCGGTTGCACGTGACAAAGAGTAGGGTCGCCTGTCCAACCTCGTGGGTTTTCTCCGGGTCCTCCGGTTTCCTCCCACTGCTAAAGACCCCTACGCGCCAGCGACTTCTTGAAATAAAATTAAACCATATTATGTTAGTCCCGAAATGACCTAGTTTATGTCGAGTGGACGTTAAACCCCATTTCTCTCTCTCTCTCTCCACCTACCGGGCTAATGAAGACTGGTATATACATGTATATGGAATGCAGTGTCTTATAAACTACTCATCGTCGAATTCCATGTGCCAGTTAGGTGCACGACATTGTGTACACTGATTTTGTCCCATCCCACATACTATGAATTTTCGTCTGCAGGGGCCTTCCATATACCCCACGGACAAGGGGAATCAGGTTGGAAGATCGAACACAAAATAACCCCGATATTACTGACAACTCAAGTACTGTCCAACTCGAATTCGGGGGTCGGGGGGGGGGGGGTTAGCGCATGCGCGTTGTATCAAAAGGTATGTCAATGAATCAATCTCGTCGTTTTCTCCGGGCCCTCTGCTTTCCTCCCATTGTTCAAGATCACTACGCGCAAGCCAGTTATTGAAAAAAATTGAACTCAGAAGATGTTGTGCGCGACCGTTCGCTAAATTCATTGAACACCACTTACAGGTCGAATCGTCAATGGCTTGACAAATATTGCAATCGTTTGAAATTATATTTAAAAGTTAGATAATGAAAAGGGGATATCTTGAAAGTTACAGTCAAATCACTTCAGACTGAAGGACGTTAGGGTTGTTAGAAGAATAGAGGAGTCTCTGTTGTCATAACTACCGTTATTACGATGGTAAACAAAGTCTCGATTATCATGCTTTTATTAAGTCATTAACTGTCAAGCGTTTTTAAATCGGTTGAAAATCTAGAGCATCCGATGACCGAGACAGTTGATTATGGTCTTGGAAAATTAATAAACGTCTAATTAGTAACTTATAATATAACATTTGAAGCCAAAATAAAGACCTCCAATGGGCTGATTTAGTTCTTGAATAATACATGTTTAAACGACCACCCAGGTAATATCATTCCTACAACCTTTTATAATATGTTAGTTTTCACCTATGTTAGAGTAGATTTACCTGCCGTGTATGAGACCCTAGGCTTTAGTCCGTCGAACCTTAGGGGTAAATCGGGGGGGGGGGGCCGAATGGTTAGCACGTGACTGCTGTATCGTAAGACCTGTCATTGAGTCAAGTGGCGTGGTTTCGAATCCCCGGTTGTACGTGGCAAGGAGTAGGGTTGCCAGTCCAACTTCGTTGGTTTTCTCCACGTCCTCCGGTTTCCTCCCACTGCCAAAGGCTCCTACGCGCAAGCGAATTACTGAAATAAAATTAAACCGTATGTTAGTCCCGAAATGACCTAGTCTGTCGAGTGGACGTTAAACCCCATTTCTCTCTCTCTAAGGTAAATCTGACACTGACCACCCAATACCACCAGAGCGCTAAAATGCCTCTCTTGGTAATATCATTCCTACAACCTTCTATAATATGTTTAATTTTATCTCTAGGTTTCACCTGTGTTAGGGTAGAATTACCCGCCGTGTATGACTACCAGCTGTCATGGGACGTAACAAACAGAACAGATTTTAAATTCAACGTTCAAGCCGAGATGGATGCATGGTTGTCTCTCGATACAGACAGACCAAGTAACAGTGATCCGGAGCTAAGGATCGGCGGAGACGGAAATACCTATACAGGAGTCTATGATTGCCCTGCATGTGTTGTAGGATTAAGATTTGTAAACAGTAATCCGCTATCTAGTGGTACCAAGAAGTCTTTCTGGGTAAACTTGTCGACAAATAAATTTAGTTGTGGTTTCGGGACATTAACAACGGTTGATCAAATTCTCAATTACTCACCCTTTCCTACAACAAATCGGATATGGATAAGTTCATATCAGACCTCTACAGGTTCATGGGAAATACGTGAGTATTAATTTGAATGTCAAAAATTTGCGTTTTCATTTTTATGTGGACTTTTTATGTCGCCCCCCCCCGTCCGTCCGTGTTTTGTTTATATCCCAAAGATCTCGATTCCTTTATGGGTCATTACCCCGGGGTGTATATATGTTTATATCCAACAGATCATGGTTGAGTTCGAATTTCCCGTCACAGTGACCGCTTCCCTTTACGCAAATAATGGAAAAACATTTAATACGTATACCAAGGTAGTCGACCCACTGCAGGTCACAATATTTGTTCGATATACATGGAACTTGACATATACGTTATCAAAAGATCTTGGATGAGTTGGTACTCATCATAATTTCCGTTTCAGAGATATAAGCCTAGAAGCACATATGAAAGTAATATGAATGTATATAAAGTGATTTATATTTAATTTTAATTTTTATTTATAATTTTCTGATTAATTATGATTTGTGAAATAGCGGAGCAGTCCAAATTGAACGACCGTCGTTTACGCCTGCTTAGTCCACTCTACACTTTTAAATTATTATTTTGTCCTTTGTGAATCGTTCATTACTAATTAATTCTGCATTGTCTTGTAGGATATGTTTTCTTTGTTCATTACAAATGACGTCAGGAATAGAAATCCACGACTTCTGTACTGATTTTAAAATGTTCATCAAATCTTTAATATTGGGTATTTGGAACCCATATAACTCCACTCAGAATAACGTCATTTGAATGTAATAATTTTCATTTTATTTTCTTCTATCTATTTATGAATTATTATAGCAAGAACAGTTAACTCTGTATCTGAATCTTACGCAATGTATCTTTAAACGCTTCTTTCTTCTGGTTCAGTGTGTGATGCACTGGTTCAACATCCAGGAGATGAGAGGTTCCCCCTGGATTTTCAAGCGCGGAGCCTGGCAAAGAACAGCGTCTAGTTGTACAAATTGCTGTGCACGCAAAAGAACCCTTGGCATTTGGAATATGATTAAAGATGGACGGAACCGCCGCGACCGGGTCTAAATATCACTCACAACACACGTTTGATGTTCTCTTAATTTCAGCTGATTACTTGACAATGACGATTCCCTCAACGCTGCTACCTAATACAACAGTTCACTGGGATGTAGCTGGTATTACATCAGCTTTATTGTCCATAGAAACTTGTGGAAGTGTTGATCTGATCTTCACCACAGATACAGCTGGTGATTATTATCAAGTTGGTTTAGGTGATTGTGCCAAGACGTGTACAGCACTAACTAAATTCATGTCGTCCTCTACTCCAACCACCCTGACAGCCACTGAGAATCCTCTACAATGCTCCAGTTTTGCAGATATATGGATAAGTTGGGAGAGTGGTGCTAGAAAACTAGAAGTTGGAACAGGACACGTACTGAATCAGAATATCTTGGTTGCTATGGAGAACCTCGATGATCTGAACACTATTGAAAAGATGGAACCAAGGAGCACAGATACGACACAGTGGAAAATAGGTAGGAACTGTTTTGCGCTTCGTAGCCACAGTGGAGAATGCCATATGTTCTCCTCGGTACCCTGTGTTAATATTGCTGACTCGACAATAGATCTATGTTATTTAAATGATATTTAGAAATAAATACGTACATGCCAACGATTACTCGGTGTTCCGTACTAGCAGAACAACGAGGCGTCCAGTCAGCTGTCTTCGGCCACTGGCAAGAAGAAACCAGATAGGACAGTACTTGGAGAGAAAGCAGGACCTCCGTGGTTGGTGAGCAGGCACAATACTTGGATTATGAACGCCCATTGCTCCATTTAAACCTGGCCAGTTCGTGCTAGGGCTGAAACGTGGATAACCTGTTTCAATAGCATTTGGTAATTGAACAGAAATACACGTTTCGACTGATGTTCTCATCGGTGCTGGATAAAGACTACAGATGCCGAATCTAAACGTCGCTCAGTAAGAAACAGTTGTCCGTAGATTATGTCCTGTGAAGGCAAAAGAAAATTTGGGTGGGTTGGGGTGTAAACTTGATTTCAGATGTATATAGTAATATTTGAAAGCCAGAATAAGAATTATCCTGACCCCTATTTTCTTTGATGTCGAGTAAATTATCTTTAAATTTATTTCGTTTTTCAGATCTATATGGGTGTGAGTTTTTGAGCTGGCAAGAATGGGGTAGTTGGTCAATCTGTGACACGGCTGGTCAGGTCAAACATAGATATCGTGTCTGTCAGTGTGAACATCCTCCATCAGATCCAAACTTTGATCCTCTCCTCTATTGTAATGGCGATTACAGAGAAGAAATTAAAAGTATGATTATTCCTTTGTATTTTAGGGTGTGGGTGTGGGTGTGGGAATTATGTGTTCATGGGGCTATTTGCTGTGTAGGGATTTTGTTTTTGACGTCTTGCGACCCAAAAGTATTCCCTGCTATTTTGGCTGTGTCTACGCGCCGGATTCAATATTATTATGGTCTAGAAGGGGATATCGATCTATAAGGAAGTCAACGGTTACCCGTTTTTACCGTTCGATCCATTATAACCTCCATCATGGGGACATAACGGCCAAAGGAGAGCTGTCGTGTCTCGTTGAGTAAGACGTTGACTCCCTAACCTGGAGGTCCTGAGTTCGACCACGGTGTTGGCCGAGAAAGTTCATTGGCAAGGGACAACGCATAGTCGCACTGATGAGTTGAAAAACTATTCGTGGGCAGGTAAAGAACCGTTGAACCTCAGGTGATCATCCCATCCGAAATTTCTGAGGTACTTTCTTGTCAAAATCAGAAAAAAGTTTTAGAAGAAACTCGAATGATTAACATATTTTAGTAATATGGCTGGGCATTCATTGCACATCTTTTAAATTAGTCGAATTTTTATTTCAAATGCTAATTACGTTTTGATTACGCACACGACAACACACTGCCCTTGTCCAGCCCTCCACTGGCAAGTGGAAACCGAGCCTGAAAATCACGATGAACTTTCTCGTCAACCACCGCCACTGGTTACTCATTGTCCCTTCGCCTTTTTGGTAAAAGCTGTACTTTTAACCTTTTGGTTATTTGTTCAAATTTTCTATTCATTTCGTCAAATCTTTTTCAGTTTTTAACTATATTTTGTTTTTAAGCTAGTGTTAATAGTTGCTTTTCTATATATTAACTTTATTCAACAAATACCCCGTGAAAAGATACGGTTTCGTTGGTTCGGGAAATGACGTCAGTTAAATGTTGGAGATTCCCCGGCGAAGCCCACTATAGCTGCATCACGGCTCTAGCAATATCATCATCGTCATCATCATCACCACTCTTATCATAATTATTATTATTATTATTCGATAAAAATTACGATTCTTGTTTTTTAGGTAACGCTGTCGTGTGCAGGAAATGGAAGTATAAGGGTAAACTTTATTCCACAACCATGGATAAATCAGTTACCACCGCAGTCTCACAGGCAGCCTGTATGTTAAATTGTAGAACATCATTCCCCAATTGCTACTATATATCTTACAATAAGTTGGAGAAACTGTGTTGGATGTATATCGGGGGAATACCACATTTTAAGTGGGTATCGAATCAGTTCATTCCCAATGAAAATTTTAAAACACACGCTTTTTATCGGTAGACGATCGTTTATTTATAACACGGCACCAAATGTACAGTTAAAACGCAGCACCAGATGATCAGATAGAGAGAGAGAGAGAGAGAGAGTTTAACGTCCACTCGACACAAACTAGGTCATTTCGGGACTAACATATGGTTTAATTTTATTTCAACAATTCGCTTGCGCATAGGGGTCTTTAGCAGTGGGAGGAAACCGGAGGACCCGGAGAAAACCCACGAGGTTGATCAGTTATAACACAAACGCTTATATTAAGTAGACGATCATTATTTATACTACGGCACCAAATGTACAGTTATAACGCGGCGCTAAATGATCAGTTATAACACGGCACCAGATGATCAGTTATAACACAAGATGATCAGTTATAACGCGGCAACAGATAATCAGTTATAACACGGCACCAGATTCGTTATAACACGACACCAGATGATCAGTTATAACACAAAACCAGATGATCAGTTATAACACGGCACCAAATGATCAGTTATAACACGGCACCAAATGATCAGTTATTTATAACACAGCACCAGATGTTCAATTAAAACACTGTGCTGTAAGAGACATTTTGTACGCAAAGCGACCTTTCGGACTACTCATCCGTGGTCATTTTATGTGCACTTCAACATGTAGACGAGACGCTATTCCTTGCACAAATGACAACGGGAAATAGGTAACACTGGCTTTAACCTGAATTTGCATGATATTACTCCCATATTCGACAGTATATACAAGATGTCTTTGTTCATATGTTATATCTTTGGCATGCTTGATCCGGATATGACGTAAAATTAGGAAGTCGGTTGTTGTTGCCGGATGAAGTCTAGGGCTTTTATATTCTTTGGCACATAGCAATTGACACAAATGGGTCGCAGCGCATGTAATAATGTAATAGGAATGTAATAGGAATACACTAAGAGTGCAAATTGAATGTGATTCATTGGGGCGTCTGGTTATTCCAGTCTACACCTGTAGTATTCTCCCGTGGGGTATGTTTAGCCTCGTTCATATAGTGACTCCATTACAATGGTGCTCGATTCGTGTGCCAATTTCAAACATTTTCATTTTGGTTTCACGGTAAAATAACACCATTGTTGAATATTCTTCTGTGGAGTATGTTTAGCCTCGTTCATCACGTCGCTCCATAACAAATGGCACTCGACTCCTGTGCCAATTTTTAAATTTTTATTTTGTTTTATTTATTGGATATCAGAAACCCATCTTTTCTGGGTAGGATCACAACACCAATGTTGATTTAAATTGACCAATTGAACTATGTGTTAGTCCTGAAATGACCTAGTTTGTGTCGAGAGGACGTTACCTCCCCCCCCCCCCCGTCTCTCTCTCTCTCTCTCACTCTCTCTCTCTCTCTCTCTGTCCAACCTCGTGGGTTTTCTCCGGGTCCTCCGGTTTCCTCCAACTGCTAAAGACCCCTACGCGCAAGCGAATTATTGAAATAAAGTTAAAGCATATGTTAGTCCCAAAATGACCTAGTTTGTGTCGAGTGGACGTTAACCTGAGTGGACGTTAACCCCCATTTCTCTCTCCCTCTCTCTCTCTCTCATTCCTCAAGATAACTCGTATTCTTGGAATATTGTACAAGATGAGCTAAGCAAGGAATCCTTCTTTACATGCTCATGGATAGATTGCCTTCCACCAAGCCTCACCAAGGACAAGGGTGGATACCATCTTCCGAGATGAAAAGGTTGCAGTAAACCCTGTGACCCCATTCGTGAAAACTTAAACTATAATATTTTAAGAATTAGGATTTTAGTGCTCAGCATTTCCCGACCCTTTGATTTATATTTTGGGGACAACTTAAGGAGCACGATGTTAGAATCGTTCAGACCTCGAACTCTATTAATAGAGTACCGGTATTTGACAATTGAGAGTAAGTCACGATAATCCATTTTATCCAATTAAATTTCGGCCTTACGAGGCCAATAAATGTATAAATAATTATTTATGTAAAGTTTGAAGCTGCAGGAAAATGACCTGCAAATTGAAGATTTACCGCTTACATAATGCATCTTTAATGCCACGACTTGAGATAGATGGTTAAGACGCTGGCTCGCTAGCCTGGCGGTCGGGTGTTCGACCCCTGCATTGGCCGAGAAAGTTCATCCTGCTTTTCCGATGTGGTTTCCCCTTGTCAGTGGTGCAGAACGGAGGGCCTGACAAGGACAGCTGTCTATAGTCCTTCGAATGATACGAAAAACCGAGGACCCGTGTATACATTAGAATGCACGTAAAAGATCCCTTGGCAGTTGGAATTCGATATAAGAGTAGGCTGTATGGCGTATGCCCGTCTTCATTAGCCCAGTATAGGAGCAGAACAGTAAGACGTTAAACCCGTCTTCATTAGCCCAGTATAGGAGCAGAACAGTAGGACGTTAAACCCCTCTTCATTAGCCCAGTATAGGAGCAGAACAGTAAGACGTTAAACCCGTCTTCATTAGCCCAGTATAGGAGCAGAACAGTAGGACGTTAAACCCCTCTTCATTAGCCCAGTATAGGAGCAGAACAGTAAGACGTTAAACCCCATTTCATTACATTTATTGTTTTTTGTATTAAAGTGTGACGAATCTTTGTTGGAGAAAATAAAATAAACACGCAATTTAAATTTTGTATATGTTTATTGTAATTTGTCATTTACATAACATTAAACGTACAAAACAATATATAATAGAAAATACAATTATACACAGTAGAGTGACGTAGAAAATATATTTTGAAATTACTTGATCCCTTGTGTTTGCTGTTTAATTTCATTACTCAGTCGTGAGTATCTGTTAAGAGAGCGAGAGGGGGTGGGGTGTTTAACGACCACTCGACACAAACTAGGTCATTTCGGGACTAACATACGGTTCAATTTTATTTCAATAATTCGCTTCCGCTTATGGGAGTTTAGCATTGGGAGAAGCCCGGGAAAAAACCACGAGATTTATGTTAAAAACACAACACAATTTATATAAACATACACATATAGCAGCGACGTTTCGATAAGTATTCTCTTATCAATTTTAAATACAAACTATATATAAGAGAATACTTGTCGAAACGTTGTGCTATATGTGTATTCCATATAAATTGTGTTGTGTTTTTTCAATGTGCCCAAATGCCACTCAAGGATTATATTTATGTTAAACATGAAACGTTAATTTATGTTTATTTAAACCAAAGCGCATCCGGCCTTACAAACTTTTCTGTAACTTTTGTTGTTTTGGGATTTTAGCAGTGGGAGATCCCAGAGAACAATCACGAGTTCAAAGTATTGTGTCATTCTACCGCCGTCACCATTGACCCTTTAAGCCTTTCCCAGAACATAGGTTCATTCTCATCTTCTTCGCACCACGTAATGTAGGTGGTAGTCTTTAATAACGCGTGTAGCGCTTTGCTCATATTAAGCGCTTCTATTTCCTCCAGTAGTATCACTACTACGGACTCGATGGTCATGTCCAAAACTAGTTTCTGTGCTAGACTTAACTCAAACTGGCACCACTCACTGCCGGCGTAAGCATTGGATAATATGATTATAACTTTACGGCTGTTTTCCATATGCTGTACGATGTTATCAATGATCATTTTCCCCGCACAGAAATCTCTCTCGTGGATGCAAAGCTTCAGATCCTCCCCATCTTCCAAGACAGGACGTAGTCTGTCCAAAACCCAGTCACTATCTTCAACACAGTAAGAGACAAATGCATCGTAGTCAAACCGTCTTTCAGCTAAATTCAGTAACAGCCGAGGTCTATATCTCCACATGTAGATGTGGTATTTGATGAACCATCTGTATTTATAGATTAATGATACCAGAATTACCATAGATACTATTAAACATCCCACGGACACCGTAGAAATATACAATTCGGTATTCTTCAGGCAAATTCTGTTGGTAATATTCAGGCACCTGTATCCGTTGGGATAATTCAGAAATTTGTGTTTATCACTACGCATCCATTGAACAAACCACACAAAATCACAGTCACAAAGAAACGGGTTTTCAGCTAGTGCCAACGTTTCAAGTTGTCTTCGAAAATAACCAGGAAACATATGCGTGTTAAAAGACTGAAGCCAATTGTGGTAAGCGTATATTGCAGTCAAATTGGTGTTTTTCAGACTTTCGGGCCATTGTTTAATATTGTTCCAACGTATATCTAAATGTTTCAAGTGATGGAGCTTTTCACTTATAATGCCGGGTACTTCCTGTAACCTACATTTAAATACTATTAAGTGTGTAAGTGACGTCAGTGGCGAAAGGGCGCGGTTCAATATGTCGATATCAGTTTCGAAAAAGTTTTCGGATATTTGCAAAATCTGTAAGCGGTCGCATCCAGTGAAAGCATCTGGATCTAAATGTTTGGCTTGAAGTAAATTCTGATGCAGATAAAGAGTGAAGATATTGCTGTTATTGAAAGCGCCACCTTGTATTTTAAACGCAGATTTAGAACTACGTTGACTGGCTATTGACAACCAATTCAAGGATTGCAATGAGTGAAACGTCCCCCTTTGCAGAACGTTCAGGCTATTGAAGTCCAGGCTCAATTTGTTCAGCTTTTTGAGACATTTTATATGGTTCTCGTCGATATTGTCTATACTATTGTTCATCATTGTCAAAAAACGTAAATTAGGGAAGTATGAATTATCCGATGTGTCACAAAACTGGGGTAACTGTCTCATAACGTTATCGTTAAGAAAAAGTTGTTGCAGGTTCCAGTTATAATCCAGAATAAATGTCAATATTTTGTTTTTAGTTAGTACCAGAGTCCGTAAATGTTTAATAGGCTTGAATACTGAATAATTCAGTACTTCGATATTGTTGGAAGACAGGTCCAGATATCTTAGTCGATACGATTTAAAGTTTTCAAAAATATCACTCGGGATTGCCCGGAATCCATTATCACTCAAGGATAAACTTTTGATTCTGGAAGTATTCGCTATGTGGATAACGTTATAAAGGGACCTCACTGTTAACAAATTTCCCCTTAAATTCAGCTTAACAATATCTGTGAGGGATTGCAGTGCGTCGTTTTCGATTGTGCTAATCTTGTTATACGTTAAATGTAGGGATGTTAGACCACTTACGTTTGAAAATGTACTAGCGTTGACAAAGGGGAGATAATTATATTGGAATTTAAGTTGCTGTATCCTGGTAGGTAGAACTGGTATATAGCTGATATTCAGGTGGTCACAGTGTGCAATACGTTTACTACAATTACACAAACCCGATGAGCAGGCATCTTCCAACCCAATCACTGACGTCACAAGTGACGTCAAACAGATTAGGACTATAATTAGTAAAGTTGACTGTGTCACCATCTTGTTATTTGTAGGTCATCTTCGTCATAGCTGCAATATATAGACAATGGACCCTTTACTGATATTATTATGGACAATCCGATTAAAACACAGATCCTATTTCGTTTTTTTATAGTTCAAAATTTCGTTTTACTTGTCTTTACTACACTAGAATCTGAAAGAGTTGTTATGTTACCGGCGTTTTGGATGGAGTGAGGGATAAGCCAATGAAACAATCTGTTACGACGACTTCTTGGCATGCTATGTACGGAACTGTGGGTAAACCACTAGGGACGCCAACGCTGATTGATTAATCAACGTCTTAAGTCATAGGGTCAAAAGCCGCTCGTAGGACCCCTGGCACGAACTTCGAGTACAACTTATCAGATCTTCATTAGTGTAGGACATCGATAGTATATATAAAAAAACGAAACGAAATATAGATCTGTATTTTAATTGACGAAATAATTGATCAAATGTATTTTGTGTATAGCTTCAAAGGTTGCGCGTCCTTTAACTCTGGAGTCAATCTCTGTGGCTTTCCGCGCGAACACAAATTGGGCAGCGGTCGCGTCAGTATAAACATAAACGACTTCATAGTTAAGCGGTCGTAGTTGCATTCGCCTTCGCGCTCGGTATAAACTGGCCTTTGCGTCATTTAAAAGACGCCCGCCGTCAAGTTGTCTGCGATATCACCTTGGGTGGAAGTGGGCGTAAAACTTTTGGAACAATTGCACTGCGTATTTCCTTGAAGTCATTATCAGGTCATGGTATGATTACTGACCAGTGTATATTCCTTTGAATTAATGCAGACCGTGTGCACATATCATATGTAGTATGTAAATGACATATGTGATTAATTACATGTTTAAATAGAACGTGACTAAACGAATTACGGTAAACGATTCGTATATCAATGTTAAAATGTTTATCTTCTCTTAAATATTGGATATCAGAAGCCCATATTTTCCCGGTAAGATCACAACATCAATGTTGATTTAAATTGACCAATAATTCGTGTTTTCAATGTCGAAGACTTTGGATGATATTGAGTTAAGAAACTGGGTGAAAATTTTGTATCTACAGGACCAAAAGTCACTACGGCCAGTCTTCTGCGCTGCCGAACACACGCAAGTTTACCAAAATTGTAACACAGAAGTATATAGAGTTGAAAAGTCGACATCATCTATTATCAAAACCAGCTTAGGTCAATAAGTTCACAGAATCTAAATAATAGTTTGTATTTTATAAAATAGAAAATTAAGCACTTTGTCACAAAATTGCCTCTGTAGACAACCCATACAGCTCGTGGCGAGTTACGCCTAAGTCATTAAGCGATCTAATCGCTTCTCTTTTCCCAATCACGAATATAAATGTAAATCTTACGTCCAATACAAATGTAATGAAACATCGTATTGTTCTGCTCCGAGTGATCTAATGAAGATAGGCATACGCAATGCAGTGTGCTACAAGGTAAGGGATTGAGTGGTCTAGTGGTTTAAACGAGATTGCTATAGTAAAAGTTTAATTTTATCATTTACTTAGTTCATTGTGTAAAGGATTTCAGATTTTTTTTTTTTTAAGTTTTAGTAACATAACAAATAACGTTAAAAAACACTTTCGGATTTCCGCAATTACGGAAACACCCGACAATTAATGAGCTGAAGCTAAATCACGTGATCGACATACGTGAGAGGCGATTCTCGTGTAGCAGTCGATGTATATTTCAATATGGTATCGGCAGGGCGTAAAACTTTTGGAACAAACGAACGAAGATTGTTTCCATGTATTAAGTTCTAGGTTTTCTCTGTTATAAAACTGTTATAGTGTGTCTTTCTATATATTTTATTACAATTTAATTCTAGTCAAAATAGCAATTGACCAATGTCCGAATTGATATCTCTTTAATGTTTCTGGTCTTTCAACTGTTTGGGTTTAAACTTAATGTAACGATATATATTATGTAATTATAGTTAACACACGTTCTTGCTATGTCCATATCTTCTGCTGTATTTAAACATCTGTTTCCTATGTACAATTTAACTTCTTGTCAAATATTATTATATAATTATTTTAATCCTAAGTTTTATATATGTTCCATATTATACGGTAACTTTCGTCTGGTGACCGGCTCGCCCTAGCGATACCTATCTCGTTATTGTGCCCGTTAGCCAGTTTTGGACATTCCTTTATTAAAAGCACAATTTTAACTATTTATCTGAGTTTTCGTCGTTAGTGTTGGAATAAGCTACAACCCCCAGAAAACAGCACTTCGGCAAAACTAAGGACTAATTGTCCTAACCTTGTATTTTATACACTTGTATTTGACACGCTTAAAATATTTGATCCCTATTTTGACTACCATATTAAACCATTTAATTTTACTTGGATTTTTACTACATTTCACGAAAATGGTTATTTATAAAGTTTTATTTTTTCTTGCAAAGAAACACTCTTGAAAATAGTCTACCACGTCAACTTCGTGGCAAATAGTAACAATGGGATCGACACCGGAGGCTCATAATTAGTCAACCCACGCAGTATTCCCTTAACATTCTTGTATAAAATGAAATGGGATTAACGCCCTACTGTTCTGCTCCTACTGGGCTAATGAAGACGGGCATACGCCATGTAATATGCTATGAGGGAAATTTTGTCCAGGCAGCGGCACTAGAGCCTGCTCTTATATCGAATTCCAACTGTCAATGGATATTTTACCTTCACGCCAATGTGTACACAGGACCACGGTTTATTGTTCCATCCGAACAACTATACCAAGGAAATCCCGATAGATTTTTTCGACCAACGCAGAGATCGAACACGTCACCCCCAGGTTAGCGACTAAATAATCGATGCTCCCAGAGTCAATAAAGTTAAAAAGGGTTATACCGAACAAAATGGACATTTTACTTACCGTTAAGATGGGATATATTTTTAACATTTAAACCCAAAATAATTAAAAAGGTTATACCGAACAGAGTGGGCATTTTACTCGTTAAAATGGATATATTTTAAACATTTTTAAACCCAAAATAATTAAACAAAATGGATATTTGACTTACCGATAAAACGGCTATAACCTACGATTTAATCATTCAAACCCACACATAAAAATATGAATGTTCTGAGTTTAGTTTAGATTATCTCCGGTGCAAAGTACATATCACAGTTAAAGGACGTACCCCAGATATATAGCAGTGTATAAATCATACAATTGTAGATTTAAGACACAAAACAAGAGATAGAGGGAGAGAGAGAATTTAACGACACAAACTAGGTCATTTCGGGACTAACATATGGTTCAATTTTATTTCAACAATTCGCTTGCGTGTATGGATCTTTAGCAGTGGGAGGGGACCCGGAGAAAACCCACGTGGGAATCGAAACCACGCCAGTTGACTCAATGACAGACCTTACGATACAGCGCGCATGTGCTAACCATTTGGCCACCCACCGGCACACCCACACACACCCCGACTCAAAACAATACAGTTAGCCTACATGTCTGTGTTGAAAGAGCGAGCGTACTGTTACAACTATCTATTTTGTAAATCGAGTGTGTTATTTACTTCAAAACTGGCGAATACACCTTAAAAGGGAAGAGTGAGTTTGTCTGCCTACGTTTCTTCGATTTCCAACTGTCTGAGAGGGTGACGTTGGCTAAGAGGGTAAGATGCTGGCTCGCTAGCCTGGAGGTCGGGCGTTCGATCCCTGTATTGGCCGAGAAAGTTCATTCAGATTTTCCGGCGTGATTCCCCCTTGTCAGTGATGCAGGGTGGAGGGCTTGACAGGGACAGCTGTCTAGTCGTTCGGATGGGACGAACTATTGAGGTCCCGTGTACACATTGGCTGGCGTGGACGTAAAAGATTCCTTGACAGTTGGAATTTGATATAAGAGTAGGTCGTAGTGCCGCTGTCCAAGCACTGTGTGGCGTATGTCCGTCTTCATTAGCCCAGTTCGGAGCAGAACAGTAGGACGTTAAACCCCATTTCATTTCATTTCCAATTGCCTGGGTTCATTTACCGGTGTAAGGCGGTTTTGAGAACTATCCGATCGATATGCCTTACTTTCCTCGATAGTCGAAAGGCCGTACTGTTGTCCAGAATATGGTTTTCATTTCAACAATATGAACAATATGTATTGTTAATTTGCACTATTAAAGGCACACCATGGTTTAAGAACAAATATACACACTTGGTCAGGTCTAAGATTACAGGACAGGATCTCGGATGGAATCACATTTTACCGTCCTCTAGTTGGATACACGTAACAGAACAGGTTAAACAGATTCCAAATAAAGATCTGGGCCCTTATTCACGAAAACTTAAACTAAGATACAATCGAAATTTTAAGAAATACTGCAACTTCATTGGATATATGCAAATTGATTTTACTGGTCAGCCAATCGAATTGCAGTATTTCTTAAAATTTCGATTGTATCTATGTTTAAGTTTTCGTGAAGAAGGGCCCTGATCTGAAAGTCGACTGTGTATCTGTTACCAGTCTATACTTTAATCAGTAACAATAACTGGTCCCCAGTGTGTGCGTCATATCCGGAACTTGCGAGAAGACGACATGGATCAACCATCATAGCATAGATCTGTACTTTACTTTACTTTTACGTTACGTTACAATTATATCCAGAGAGAGAGAGAGAGAGAGATGGGGTTTAACGTCCACTCGACACAAACTAGGTCATTTTGGGACTAACATATGGTTCAATTTATTTCAATAATTCGCTTGCGCGTAGGGGTCTTTAGCAGTGGGAGGAAACCGGAGGACCCGGAGAAAACGCACGAGGTTGGACAGGCGACCCTACTCCTTGCCACGTATAACCGGGGATTCGAAACCACGCCAGTTGACTCAATGACAGACTTTATGGTACAGCGCGCACGTGCTGATCATTCAGCCACCCAACCCCCCACAATTATATCCAGACTAGGTTTAAAATATAGTATCACATTTGTAAAATTTGCATAGAGAGAGAGAGAGAGAGAGAGAGAGAGAGAGTTAATGTCCTCTAGACACAAACTAGGTCATTTCGATTTCGGGCCTAAGCAGACAGACACATCATCCGTTCAACAGGGACCCACCTTTAATATGAAATGAAATGGGGTTTAACGTCCTACTGTTCTGCTCCTATGCTGGGCTAATGAAGACGGGACCTTTAATATATATAGATATAAATTATAAAGAGTCATATCCTGTCGAGTAATAGCGAGGCGTCTCTCAAGTGTCCAGGAAGATTTTGATAAGAGGCCACCATGACACGGAGTTGTATGTCACGACTTACATTGTCGATTGTTGAGTCTCGTTGGTCCAGTGAGTATGGTGTTGGCTTATTAACCGATTGGATGATCGAGAACAAATCTCAGGGATTTTCAGATTGGTTTGCTTTTGTAAGTGGTGCAATATGCGGGGGCGTGGCACGGATAAGACGTTTAGACCTTCGATAACGTTAAACCCCATTTCCGTTTATTTCATTCGTATTACCATAGTCTAATGGTGATGACTGGGAGCTAACGTCAGCTACCACCCAGAGCAATATCGCAGACCATGAAAGTGGTATTATAACAAATCGGGTTAAAGATACACTATGTAAGATTTAGATAAAGAACTAGCCATTCTTGCTATAATAGTTCGAAAGCAGATGATGTAAAATGAATAATTTGAAAATTTCATTCAAATTACTCTATGGCGCGAGCAAAGATATTAGCCTTTGAGGGTTTGACAGACGTGTGCAATAATTTCAACCACCGGACTGGTTGATCGAAGCTAAGTCTCGGTCCTCCATATTTGATTAAATCAAAGTATCGCTGAACCATTCTAATGTATTTAATATCGGAGAAATCTGATGCCATTGAGAGTTGATTAAGGCCTGGATCAGTTAATTAATGTCTAATTAATACTTTAGAAAACATTTCAGGCCTAAAGAAAGACCTGCAATAAGCAGATTTAGCTCTTGCATAATGCATGTTTAAGTTCGAACAAGGGCTGACGAACGAATTCCTTATTTACAAAAATAATGATCAATTTAAGGGTGATTTAACGGGAAAGTTGAATTCTTCCTACTAACACTGAGAAATGACATCACTGTCTTCAACAAAATAAGTATACTAGTTTCTGTTCATGACTATTTATAATAGAACCGAAACCAGATAAAAGACTCCGGCCTCTCCCTGTCCGTACACTTCTTTATAGCGCGACAAACCTATGCATCCTGCATTTAAATTGTTGAGGCCACGGTGGCTCAGTGAGTAGGACGTTGGCTCGCTAAGCTGGAGATCCCGTGTTCGATCCCGGTGTTGACCGAGAAAGTTATTCCTAGCCAGTGATGCAGGACACCGTTAGTTATTCGGATGGGACAATGAGAGAGAGAGAGAGACCGTTAGAGAGAGAGAGAGAGAGAGAGAGAGGGGGGGTCTAAAGTTCAGTCGAAACAATCTAGGTCATTTCGGGATTAACATATGGTTCAATTCTATTTCAATAATTGTTTATGCGTAGTGGTCTTTATCAGCGGGAGGAAACCCGAGGACCTGGAGAAAATAACGTTAATATTAGCATATTTTTAGCCCTGCGAAATTTTAAAAAGTAATTCTGAATATTTTTACAAAGGAAAAATACCAAAAAATCCCGAATTGACATTTATGCATATCTGGAGCCTCGTTTTGATTTTTTCCGTGAGTGACGTCAAAGACGACAGACGTTGTGAATTTCCTTATAGAAGGCTATTGCAACTGAGCACAGCATTCCGTTATTTTGCCTCACTGGAAGCATAAACAGTGTTTTTTAACGTTATTTGTTACTAAAACTTTAAAAAAAAAAAATATTCTGAAATATTTTATTCTGAATTTTTAAGTAGATCGAGGCATTTGTCATCTAAGCTTCAACTACAGGGATACTTGTTTTATGGCCGTCATATTGACTTGATTGGTAAATATAACATGTCTCGCTCGGCTATTATTCTAGATATATTTAATTGACGCGTATACTATCCCTGATAATGTCTGTCTGCTACATCGTTAACACTGTTCATCACGTGCATGTTACAATTTTGGTAAACTTGCGTGTGTTCGGCAGCGCAGAAGACTGGCCGTAGTGACTTTTGGTCCTGTAGATACAAAATTTTCACCCAGTTTCTTAACTCAATATCATCCAAAGTCTTCGACATTGAAAACACGAATTATTGGTCAATTTAAATCAACATTGATGTTGTGATCTTACCGGGAAAATATGGGCTTCTGATATCCAATATTTAAGAGAAGATAAACATTTTAACATTGATATACGAATCGTTTACCGTAATTCGTTTCAGCGCAATGTGTAACACGGCTAGACATAGTCCACATGTTAAGTCAAACGGTGACCCATGTTCTTATCTTGGGAGCATGCGCAATAAATACTACCGGTGTAGACTGGAATAACCAGACGCTAGAGATTGACATTCGATTGAGACTTCTGGCGTATTTCGCCGAGCATAACTGATTTGACATTAGAGCAAAAACGGACACGATTGAATGTTAAACATGTTTAAATACATTCATATTATATTATTATATGCGTTGTGAGCCATTTGGGTCAATTTCGAGGTCCCAAATATTAGCTTCTTTAAGCCTCACTGACTGACCTCGCACAGGTTAATATTTGTGAGATAAAAAAAATTGTTTGTCACTACCGGTAATTTTTTCTATCTAGCTGCTTACATAAATATCATAGTTGCGCTGCCTAGATATACAGTCATGGGGGTCATAGGTCAGATTAGTATCCATGTTATCAAGTAGCTTCGTACCAACTTCGAACACTCGCCTACACCCTCTTGGTATCCCGAGGAGGCCAAAAACTTAAGCATAATGAAGTCATTATGCTTTGTTTTAGCTTGGATTTTTACAGTAAGTTCAGGGACTCAATATGATGATGAATTTTATTATGGTAAATTCCCTGATGGTTTTGAATGGGGTACAGCCACGGCAGCGTATCAAGTGGAAGGGGCCTGGAATATAGACGGTAAGACCGGTGTTATAACAATATAATAAAATGAATTTAAAAAGGAATGAAATAAAATGGGGTTAAACGTCTTACCTTCGGTACGATCCGGACCAATTATTCTATTACTATAAATACCAATGAAAACTATGTGTTTTATTATTCTATTACTGCATGCTTTGTTGACAACTATGTGTTTAATTATTGTATTACTACAAGTACCAATGAAAACTATGTGTTTCATTATTGTATTACTGCACGTTTTGATGACAACTATGGGTTTTAATTATTGTGTTACTTCAAGTACAGATGAAAGGAGTCGCGGTGGTTAAGTGGGTAGGACACTGGCTCACTAGCCCGGAGGTCTCGTATTCATAGGGATTTTCCGGCTTGCTTTCTCTTTGTGCAGGCTGTCTAGTCGTTTGGATGGGACAAAAATCGGAGGTCCCGTATATACATTGGCGTGTACGTAAAATATCCCTTGGCAGTTGGAATTCGATATAAGAGTAGGTCATATTGCCGCTGCCCGGACAAACTTTCCCTCATAGCACACGGTAAGGCGTATGCCCGTCTTCATTAGCCCGGTAGGAGCAGAACAGTAGGACGTTAAACCCCATTTCATTTCATTTCGTACCGATGAAAACTATGTGTTTAGTGAAACACTCGGGTTTAATTATGTTATTATTATGTTATTGCCAGTACCAATGAAAACTATGTGTTTTATTATTGATTACAGGTAAAGGTGAGAGTATATGGGACAGATTCAGTCACACGCCAGGTAAAATAGATAATGGTATGACCGGTGATATAACGTGTGATAGTTACCATAAATATAAAGAGGATGTCCAGATGTTAAAACAACTAGGGGTAAGTTTAAACCATCAGACTTGTTCACGCGTGTGAAAGATCAGCAGTGAATATTCGCTAGGCCGCGACAATCACTGATAAGCATGACATCGATGCGGACTTAATGAGCCACAAATATTAACTTTTTTCCTCCAAAAAATTAAATTCTAAAACATGTGTTAAAAAAATAAATAAAAACGTTTTACGTATTTGTAGGTACAACTTATTTCCTATTTAGTGTAATTGGGTATTAAAATGAGTAAAAGACTCCATTCCGCCCGAGCCAGTAACGTCTTATGTAAACAATGCACGCGCCATTGAGCCAATGATTGACGCCGCTTGATGAGACGTCACACGTTGAAGTAGTCACCTTTTACAGAGATATTAGAAGACTTTCTTAATCCTCTGTGAAACAGAATGGTGAAAAATATGTACACATGGTCATATATATGGACGTGTGTGTGAGATATGTACCACAGGCGCCTGTAACGCGGAAAACATTTCAAAAATGACATTAAGCTATGACTAAGTATAATGTCTAAAGTCTGTCCATGTTCGTAAGCGAGATTATCAAATAATTAGTCTGATTCCGATTTCTAACTCAGGGGCAAATAACTCGTCTGAAACCAATCCTCTTTCCGTAGATATAATATAGAAAGGTAAGAAACAAGTTGGAATAAAAGTTGACTACTCTAGATTCAGTAAACCAGTGGAAATACTCACTGATTTTCGCTAGGTAGACAATCGAGTCTACGATGACATTAACAAATCGATCACGTGACTTAAAGAGGGTCACGTGGATGGTTTTAAAACGTATGTACAAATGTATTTTAAATACTGTTAAAGATTATTGTCCTCGACAGTAGCCGTATCAACTGTATGCTCTCCCTATATTTTAGAAAATATTACTGGGGGTGTCGATAATCCAATATCCTTGTAATTTCATAATGGTGGACTCATCAATACGATACTGCCTGATATTAATCCATTTGACTATGCCCCAGAGAAAAGATCGTCTATAATACCATACAACATATCTGTATAATCCGAACAACGGGTTCAGAATTCTAATTTGTATTAGTAATAATTAAATATTAATGTTTATCGTTTGTGTCTGGTTATGATATTGCGTGACAGATTCATTATAACACCAATTTCATGCGCCACGGTAGCTAAGTGGGCAAATCGTGTATTGGGACAGGTGATTAACTGAATTATATGGAAGCGTTAACTGAATTATATGGAAGCGTATAAGGGCCAATAAGCGCGATAAATACCAGGGGTACGGTGTTGTTCTCAAAACATGCATTATTAATAACACAGATTTCATAAACACTAATTGTTATTAATATCACGTGATTTGTATATTTGAATTTGTTGAACTTGAAGGACAACAACAAAATATAATATATTTCTAAATAACTTTATACGCCACAAGAGACAGAAACACAAGTTATTTGTCCACAGATGAATCAATACGCGGTCGTGATTTAGCATATGATTTAATTGAAACTATATAATTTTAGTTTTTATCACGATAGGGGAGTTGCCAACTGCAGAATAAATCACAAACAAAGTGTCAATATATTTTGAATATAGCTATACGATATTGAGATGATCGGGCCATGTTTTCAATGTTTGTCGTTTTTTGGATGGGAGAGAGAGAGAAATGAGGTTTAGCGTCCACTCGACACAAACTAAGATTATAAAATGACGGAAATTTGAACGTGTAGTCAACATTATCTATCTTTCTGTACCTAAATCTTGGTGGAATAATCCTACATTGTGTGATTTAGGTCTGACCCGATCCCGCAGAGTATCTCTACTGTTGATATATTGGAATGCACGAAGAAGATCCCCTGGCAGTTGGAATTCGATATAAGAGTAGGCGATATTGCCGCTGCCCGGGCAAAATTTCCCTCAGAGCACACTGTATGGCGTATGCCCGTCTTCATTAGCCCAGTATAGGAGGAGAACAGTAGGACGTTAAACGCCATTTCATTTCATTTCATTTCGCTACTGTTGATACATGGAGAATCTCCTACTCGTCGTTTTTGATATGAAAACATATCAACACAAGTCGATAAAGTAAAAAAAAAACCCCGAGACTCTGCCGATTTTTTTTTTTACTTTATCGACGAGTGTTGATATTTCTTTTAAAACAAAACCGACGAGTAGGAGATTTTATTTATCTCTCAATCCTTTCTTATATGCATAAATATATAATTATAATTCTTTGCTATAGAGATTACTTTTACTGAACCTGATTACATTACGGCGTAGTGATACATCATTTTTTGGCAGTAATTTACCTATTGCAAAGTACTATATATTGACCCAGGGTTTCCTTCAAGGTCACTTAAATAAAAATAGTTTCTTTGAAATTAAAAAGAAGGCATGCACTTTTCATTTTAAAAAGTGGTTCATTTAAAATACAAAGAAAGTAAATTAAATACAATAAATCACAGTCTATTCTACCTGTCATCAAGTACTATGAAAAGCGTAATCGTACTCAGACTTGCATTTAATCCCACGAAAACAATGAGTAATATCCGGCGTGCAAGATAGACAATATATACTTTTATAAAATCAATATATCATTATTAAGCTATTCATTAAATCGGTGTTTTGTGTTAAACGTAGTAATATTATATTATACTTTTTAATTAGACTCTCATCCATTTATTGAAAGGAGGAATTTATCAGACAAAAACATATACAATTCAGAAGAATATCGTATTATATCTGTTAGCTTGGTAATGTGGCTATATGAAAATAGTTTATGACGTTTTGTTTACGTCTAATGACGGCTTTCGTGATTTGATAAAATTTATGCCAGTCAACATTAAATTGTTAATGAGTAATGGCGGCTTCTATGGTCTGACTAAATTCGTTGAACTGTTTTCCGCGGAGTAATACTGAACATGTGGAGATATTGTAAGGGAACGTGTGTGTTGATATTTCTGTTATTTATCATTCAATGTACTGGGCAAAGGTCATCGCAGTTTAACGACACTGACGACCAAGGTAAATCATCAGAATCTGAATTGAAAGACACTACCGACCAACACACACCACCAGGTTCTGAGGGCAAAACCAACCGTTCTCAGACTTCAAAAGGCGTAGCTACATTTCAGAATGCCCAGCAGCTTGAAACCTATCTTCTGTCCAATTACAGTAAATGGTTAAGGCCAATACGAAACCAATCTGAGAAGATGATGGTCATCGTGAAGTTTGGTTTGGAAGGTATTGTGGACGTAGACGAAGTCGGGCAATTAATAACTTATAATGTTGTATTTGTTGTGAAGTGGAGAGATGAACTATTGAGATGGAATCCTGACGAGTTCGGTGGTATATCACTTGTAAATATACCCGTCGAAAAACGATGGCTACCACAACTAAAAGTTATCGACTCAGTTAAAGGCAGGAATTTGTTTTTGGACGAATCTCACCCGTATTCGGTAGACGAAAATGGAATAGTTGTATGGACTCCAGCTGCGGTTTTTACTAATTTATGTCTACTGGATATGACAAAATTTCCGTTCGATGAACAGGTTTGCGAAATCAGAATCTCACCCACCGATTTCTTACAAAATCACCTGCAGCTCTTTATAGAAGACAAATTTGACACTACAAAAATCCAAGAGAATGGAGAGTGGATGATTGTTGACATGATGGGAGTTAATAATACAAATAACCACGAATCGGTACCATCGTTAATTCTGATCAAAGTCGTCTTGTGTCGACGCCCGGCTTTCATTTTGCTCAATGTGTTCCTGCCAGTTATCATTCTGTCATTTGTAAACGTGGCTGTGTTTGCGGTACCAGGGGACTCTGGTGAGAAGTTGAGCTACGTCCTGATTGTTCTGCTAGCCCTGTCTCTGCTGTTGAGTGATATAAGCAGTAAGTTACCAACGACGTCCATCCGTATACCATACATCACCATCTACGTATCCAGCGAGGTTCTTCTCAGTACCCTTTCCGTCTTGATGACTGTGTTGATTAAACATCTGCGAAATTCGAAGCAACCCGTTCCCGTGTGGTTGCGTGGTTGTGTGCGATTCATGGAATCGGGTTGTTATAATAATAAAATTGATGTCTTTGATAAAGATGGAGTAATAAAATGGAAAGATGTGTCTGAAGCAATGGATAAGATATTTTTGTATTTCTCCTTATTCTTGGCTGGGACCATGTGTACAATTCTAATGGTTTTAATAACCCTACCCAATGCGTAAGGGGATCGAACCCCTACAGATTTGTTATCTTAAACAGTTTCAGTGACCTTTGATCAGGGTATTTAAAGATACATTATGCAAGAGCTTATCGTTGTTCCTTCGTTAGGTCTTAAATGTTATATAAATTATTAGTTTCATATTTCATAAACTTGCAAAGCCCATAATTAATTCTCGATGCCCTCGGATGCTCTAGAATTAGACGGATTTAAACACGATTGGCGGGTAACGATTTAATTAAAAAGTTGATACTATCGTAACAACGGTAGTAATGACGACCGAGACTACAAACAGGCCTAACGTCGCTCAGAATAAAGTAAATTGACTGATATTTTCAATATATTTATGTTAGTTTTGTTAGAAATGAATTATAAACATGTAATAATATTTAATAATACCTTTTTATTGCTGTGCTAAAATCTAATAAACAGGTCATATTACCATCTATACTTGTGTTTCGTTATTTTAGATTCGTGTTTCGTTATTTTAGACTCGTGTTTTGTTAATTTAGACTCCGGTCTTGTTTTTAGACACCCTTTTTAGTCTAGTGTTTCGTTCTTTCAGACTCGTGTCTCGTTCTTTTAGACTCATGTTTCGTTCGTTTAAACCCGTCTTTTGTTCCTATAGACTCGTGTTTTGTTGTAGTATATTCATGTTTTAGCTTTGGGGGGTTGGGTGATCGAATGGTTTAAAGAGTCCACGTTGGATCATTAGATCTGTCATTTAGTCATAAGGCGTGGTTTCGGTTCTCCGCTTGTACACCCTACTCATAAGGAGTGGGATTGCATGTTTCTCCTATAGCGGAAGACCCGTATGCTCAAGCCAATTATTGAAAAAAGATCGAACCACATGTTAGTCCCGAATATAGTTTGTGTCGAGTTGACATTAAACCTGTTTATTTTCCTCTATCCCCTGTCTGTCCGTTTGATCGAGGGTGGGGACAGCTGAGCGTTGCGTCATGAGGTCTGTCATTGTGTCGTGGGTTCGATTCCCATTTTGTACGTGACAGTGTGTAGGATCGCTTGTCCAACCTCGTGGATTTCCACCAGGTCCTCCGGTTTCCTCCCACTGCTAATGCTAATAAACCCTACGCGCAAGCGAATTAATGAAATAAAATTGAACCTATGTTAGTCCCGAAATGACCTAATCTGTGTCGAGTGTATTTTAATCAGATTTACAGATTATGCTCTGAGCAATAAATTAATTACATTCGTCTACTTATCTCTCATGTTATTCTGTTTTATTTTTCTATCTTATGCTATGTTCCCACCACACGATTCGCGCTACGATTGAAATCGTGGTTTTAATAACCAGGTAATCGTGATGGTCGTATCAGGTCTTATCACGTATTGTGGTCAGTTGACCGGATCGAAACGTGCGGGGTTAGATGGTCTGTCATTGAGTCAACTGGAATCCCAGGTTGTAGGTGACAAGGAGTATGGTCGCCTGTCCAACCTCGTGGGTTTTCTCCGGTTTCCTCTCACTGCTAAAGACCCCTACGCGCAAGCGAATTACAGAAATAAAATTTAACCATGTGTTTGTCCCGAAATGACCTAGTTTGTGTCGAGTGGACGTTAAACCCAATTTCTCCCCCTCTCTCTTCTATCGTAACGCATCACACGACAGTGTGAACCTAGCATTAGTGGAGTTACCAGATCGTGGACTCAATAGGAACAACCTTATCGTAACGCATCACACGACAGTGTGAACCTAGCATTAGAGGAGTTACCATATCGTGGACTCATTAGGAACAACCTTATCGTAACGTATCGCACGACAGTGTGAACTTAGCATTAGAGGAGTTACCATATCGTGGACTCAACAGGGACAACCTTATCGTAACGTATCACACGACAGTGTGAACCTAGCATTAGTGGAGTTACCAGATCGTGGACTCAATAGGAACAACCTTATCGTAACGCATCACACGACAGTGTGAACCTAGCATTAGTGGAGTTACCAGATCGTGGACTCAATAGGAACAACCTTATCGTAACGCATCACACGACAGTGTGAACCTAGCATTAGAGGAGTTACCATATCGTGGACTCATTAGGAACAACCTTATCGTAACGTATCGCACGACAGTGTGAACTTAGCATTAGAGGAGTTACCATATCGTGGACTCAACAGGGACAACCTTATCGTAACGTATCACACGACAGTGTGAACCTAGCATTAGTGGAGTTACCAGATCGTGGACTCAATAGGAACAACCTTATCGTAACGCATCACACGACAGTGTGAACCTAGCATTAGTGGAGTTACCAGATCGTGGACTCAATAGGAACAACCTTATCGTAACGCATCACACGACAGTGTGAACCTAGCATTAGAGGAGTTCCTAGATCGTGGACTCATTAGGGACAATCCTATCGTAACGCATCACACGATAGTGTGAACCTAGCATTACATAATAAATAATATTGGCAAAGCTTTTTAGCTAACGACATATTTTGAATCATTTTTCCATTACTGATGACAGAGATCGATCAACTCTAATTCGATAATAGATCTCTGTCCTAAATGGCCGCCATATCTAACAATTAGTATATTAATCTTTAAGAGGCATTTAGTAACTGGGTAGAGCAATACACAAAAAACACATACTTATGGAAAAACAGCTACTTATTTATTTGGGCGACGTTTCGAAGAGTATTCTCATAACGTTGAGAGAATACTCTTCGAAACGTCGCCCAAATAAATTAGTATATTGTTTTGTTATGCCGTCCTACTCCGGTTCACACCTTTTGTACACAATTAATCTTTTCCATTTCATTAAATAAAAGAAGAATATATACTTCGTCGATTTTGGACTTAAAATGTCTGTTATCGTGAATGGGAGAAAGGGAGAGAAATGAGGTTTAGCGCCCACTCGACGACACAAACTAGGATTATGAAATGACGGCAATTTGAACTTGTAGTCAACATTATCTATCTGTCTGTACGTAAATCTTGGTGGAATCCTACATTGTGTGATTTAGGCGTGACCCGATAAATTGGTTTATTTCCTTACTTAAAAATCAAATAACCAATGAAAGATACATTATTATAAATAAGATAAAGAGCTGGCAGTTCTCACTATAATAGTTAAAAACTAGATAATGTAAAGGCAATTTGCTGTAAATTTCATTCAAATTGATCCACTATGAACCGAGAATTAAGCGATTGAAATTTCGGCCTAGTCTCGATCATCATTACGAAAGTCTGTACGGTAAAACAACATAGTCTCGATCATCCATTTCATGATTAAATTATGAATGGAAGTCGTACAGCAAATGGGATCGCAATCCAGTAAATGTCGCAAGCTAGCGATGCCATCGAGAGTTGATTATGGTCGGAATAAGTTAATTAATGCCTAATTAATAATTTAGATAACATTTCAGGTCTAAAGAGAAATCTGCAATTGGTTGATTTAGCTCTTGCATAATATATGTTTAACTATATTTTATCGTGAATTAAGCGGTGCTCATAGAGATATTGCTAAAATCAATACAACATCTACTTTACTGACCCAAGAAAAGAATTCCACCATCTATTAATATAAAACAAAAACCTAAATTGTTGTTAGATGAGCTGAAAAATATGAACGATGACCTCAGAGTAATTAAATACAATAAAAACAGTGTATTCTAACTGCTATCAGGCGTTTCGAAAAGCGTAACCGTACTCTGACGTGCATTTAATCCCATGAACACAATGATTAATATGCGGCGTGCAAGATAGACAATAATATACCTTTATCAAATCAATACATCATTATTAAAGCGAGAATTATAGGATTATTTCTATGTCTTTTGCTCGAGGTTGTCAACTCACTATTATACGATCATAGGTATCATTCTCACACTTAAAAAAATCATTCACCCCGGAAATAATAACACAATTACCTCCCTTGTTTTTCTATTCCCACCATGAATAGCCATCACCAAACGTTTGAATTTGAAGTTAAAAATGATATTTTTGCCAATTTCCAAACTGGCAATAGTGAATTATAGGATTAATAGGATTATTCTTTAACAAGGTAGGACTGTTTATAGATGTCATCTATTTTAGGGCTTTATTTTAATACATTTTAAAAATATGACTTAAAAATATGAAATTGTCGCTTTAAGCAACGCATTACATCTATGTTTTATACTTGTTAAATATACTTGCATCCATTTAATGAAAGTAGAAATTTATCAGATAAAAATATATACAATTCAGACGATTATCGTATGATATCTGTTAGCTTGGTAATGGGTTATATCAATACAATTTATGGCGTTTTGTTTAGTCTAATGGCGGCTTTCGTGATCTGACAAAATTGATGTCAATCAACATAAAAGTGTTCACTTGTAATGACAGCTGGTACGATCTGGCACAATTCGTTTTATTCAACACTTAACTGTTTTGCGCGGAGCAATACTGACGATGTGGAGATATTGTTCAGGAACGTGTGTGCTAAGTTTTCTGTTGTTTGTCGTTCAGTGTAAATCGGCAGAATCTGAATTGAAAGACACCAAAGACCAACCAAAACCAAAACCAAAATCAAAACCACCGAGATCTGAGCAAAGTTCCAGCGGTTCTCAGACTTCAAAAGGCGTAGCTACATTTCAGAATGCTCAACAGCTTGAAACCCATCTTCTGTCCAATTACAGTAAATGGATAAGGCCAATACGAAACCAATCTGAGAAGATGGTGGTCAGTGTGAAGTTTGCTATGGAAGGTATTGTGGACGTAGACGAAGTCAGACAATTAATAACATATAATGTAGTGTTCAGAGTGCAATGGAGAGATGAACTATTGAGGTGGAATCCCGATGAGTTTGGTGGTATAACACTTGTAAATATCCCTGACGAGAAACGATGGCTACCACAACTAAAAGTTATCGACTCAGTTAAAGGCAGGAACTTGTTTTTGGACGAATCTCACCCGTATTCGGTAGACGAAGTTGGAATAGTGATGTGGAATCCAGCAGCAGTTTTTACTAATTTATGTCAACTGGATATGACCAAATTTCCGTTCGATGAACAGGTTTGTGAAATCAGAATTTCACCCACCGATTTCTTACAAAATCGCCTGCAGCTCGTTATAAAAGACGACTTTGGAACCGCAAAAATCCAAGAGAATGGAGAGTGGATGGTTGTTGACATGATGGGAGTTAATAATACAAATAAACACGAATCGCTACCATCGGTAATTCTGATCAAAGTCGTCTTGTGTCGACGCCCGGCTTTCATTTTGCTCAATGTGTTCCTGCCAGTTATCATTCTGTCATTTGTAAACGTGGCTGTGTTTGCGGTACCAGGAGACTCTGGTGAGAAGTTGAGCTACGTTCTGACAGTTCTGCTAGCCCTGTCACTGCTGTTGAGTGACATAAGCAGTAAGTTACCAACGACTTCTATCCGTATACCTTACATCACCATCTACGTATCCAGCGAGATTCTTGTCAACACTCTGTCCGTCTTGATGACTATGTTAATTAAACATTTGCGAAATTCGAAACAACCCGTTCCCGCGTGGTTGCATGGTCTTGTGCGATTCATGGAATCGGGTTGTTATAATAACAAAATTTATGTCTTTAATAAAGATGGAGTAAGGCTTGACGACGAAGATACTATCAAATGGAAAGATGTGTCTGAAGCAATGGATAAGATATTTTTTTATTTCTCCTTATTCTTGGCTGGGACCATGTGTACAATTCTAATGGTTTTAATAACCCCACCCAATGCGTAAGGGGATCGAGCTCCTACAGATTTTTTTTTATCTTAAAGATACATTAGTTATGAGTTTTATAAACTGTTGGCCATTCTTGCTATGATGATTCAAAAATAGATGATAAAAAAAGAAAATGTTGAAAATTTCAGTCAAATTATTTTGTTCTGAACGGAATTGTCACTGTTGAAAGTTTGGACTAAAAATAGGCACCAATTGTGTCTCCACTGTCTATGAGAATTGGCGATCGTTTGAGTGACAGACGATAACTCCGCCCTCATATTCTCGATTATCAAGTAACATTAACATGCTCAATGGGTATGGAAGCCTCGCTTGGCAGGCCTTTCATCACCACTGTTTAAATCCAAACTGTATCCATGCTATCCGTTGGTCTACAGAGTTGATTTTGAGCTTGTTATGTAAATAAAGGTCTAATTTAATAATTTCTATAACATCTGAAGCCTAAATAAAGACTTGCAATTGGCAGATTTAGCCCTTGCATAATGTATGTTTAAACAGTTTCAGTGACATTTGATCAGGGTAATAACCACTTCTTATTTATAGATGCATTAAGCAAGAGCTGTCTTTCGTTAGGCCTTAAATGTTATAAAAATTATTTAATTAACTTGCAAAGACCATGATCAATTCTCGATGTCCTCGGATGCTCTAGATTTAGACGGGTTTAAACACGATTGTTGGTCTTCTCTGGGTGCTTTGGTTTTCTACCACTGCTAAAACCTCTATGTGCACTCAAATTATAAAGAATAAAATTGAACCATATGTTAGTCTCTCCCTCTCTCTCTCTCTCTCTATCTCTCTCTCTCTCTCACACACAAACACACCCATAATAAATAATATTGACAATGCTTTTAAACTAACGACCTATTTTAGATCATTTTTCCATTACTAGTAATATGATGTAAATACCTTTCTACAGTTAATCAATAGAGTTAATAGAATTTCTAACTCATTTGTAATTACTAATAAATGATGTGTAGTACAGGTGCGTTATTATCTAAATGTGGGAATTTAACTAGTAGGATAACTCATGAGACTGAGGTTATACTGGGGAAAGAAAAACTGAAGAAGATAACCCGAGAAAAAGAAAAACTGAGGCCGCCAGGCCGAGCTTTTCTGTTGAGGTTTTTTTTCTGAAGTCTTTCTTCCCCAGCATAACCGAAGTCGAGGACTTTATCTTGCTTATAAACCGTCTATGTTTACATGTACGCAAGATGAGAATATCACAGAATTCCTGTAAGAAAAGCTTTATATCATGTTTTCTTATAGGAAAAAAACCCTACCCTGGAAGAATAACCCGTTACAGGTTTAAAGAAAACTTTCAGAAGAATAACCCCAAATTCCCCTGTATATATCCAAAGCCACCCCGACTTTCAGACCGCAAGTTATTTCGGGCATAGAATATACCCCAAAGATCAAAGAGATTTACTGTTACAGATTTATAAATGTAGGAGAACTACGCTACACACAATACAAAACCGGCAAGACAATCCCGTGGCAAGACACCGTAAAGAAATGTCAAAATTAAGTGAATGGATGCGTAGTGTAAAACAACACTTCTCTCACGAAGAAACTGAAAAATGGGTAGCAGATAGGACCACGGTCGGGGATATATGCTTAAAGTAGCCAAGTCTCTAACTCAATATAATTCAAAGACAAAATAAACATCTTACCATTTGTACCATAATGCGTTTCAGTGCCATCTGTATTAAGGGACTCCAAGAACGAGGCTAGGCATATTGACAGAGAGGGGTGGGGTGCATCACTACGTTTTGGACGCATCTTCTTCAGACAAGGGTTGAATGTGCTACTCAAACACATTCCATAACTTTTGTTTAAATAAGATGATGTATGAAATGAAATGAAATGGGGTTTAACGTCCTACTGTTCTGCTCCTATACTGGGCTAATGAAGACGGGCATATACAATACAGTGTGCTATGAGGGAAATTTTGCCCGGGCAACTGCCAAGGGATCTTTTACGTGCATTCCAATGTATACACGGGACCTCGGTTTTTGGTATCATCCGAAGGACTAGACAGCTGTCCTTGTCAGGCCCTCCGTTCTGCACCACTGACAAGGGGAAACCACATTGGAAAATCCCGATGAACTTTCTCGGCCAATGCAGGGATCGAACACGTGACCTGCAGGGTGGAATTGGTTGGGTGGATGATAAGTGGGTTGAATAGGTTGATGAGATGGCGGAAACTAGATGACGAGTGTTTGAAAACCAGATGACGAGTGGGTTGAATAGGATGATGAGTGGGTGGAATGGGGTGGGTGGATGATACGCGTGTGGAATCGGATGATGAGTGGGTTGAATAGGTTGATGAGATGGCGAAAACTGGATGATGAGTGGGTGGAAACCGGATGACGAGTTGGCGGAATAGGATGATGAGTGGGTGGAATGGGGTGGGTGGATGATACGCGTGTGGAATCGGATGATGAGTGGGTTGAATAGGTTGATGAGATGGCGGAAACTGGATGATGAGTGGGTGGAAACCGGATGACGAGTTGGCGGAATAGGATAATGAGTGGGTGAAAACCGGATGATTGTGTAAGTGGAAACCGTAAAATGAACTACATATTGAGTTAACGACACGTTAAATCATCTATCGCGTGTTTTCAATCAAATCCATAACAGTTGGTTTTAAGATTCCGCTGTTGGTGGGTAGCAGAATTATATAACAGAAAACTGCTTAGTCATGGGATATTGGTAGGTTTTTAATCACGAAATTATACATTGAAGAAGTTCAATAACTATTTTGTGATTAAATATAGAGGCATTTAGTAACTGGGTAGAGCAATACACAGAAACACATACTTATGGAAAAACAGTTGATAACGTTGGGAGAATACTCTTCGAAACGTCGCCCAAATAAATAAGTAGCTGTTTTTCCATATGTATGTGTGCTTGTGTATAAATCTAACAAAATCGCATGAATAAGCAGTTTTCTGTAATATATGCTACCGATCAACATCGGAATTTCAACGGCCTACTTTTGACTGTCTAGCTTGTGGTATATGTTCATGTTAGTTGTCATAAAAGTACAAGTATGTTATCTGTGACCTGAGACATATATAGATCATATACATATAGACTTTAAATAGATCCGCGCACTGACTAGGGTATTAAGATATAGACATTCTTTGATCGCGATGTAAATAAAATACCTGATTAGGGGTTGTTATATGGAATTAAATGGATGTTATAGTCACAGCCAGGCTAATAAAGACGGACAAGCGTTATTCACCCTGACAACGGCGCTACGGCCAACTCTTATTTCAAATCCAATTACCAAAGGATCTTGTACATGCACACTAACGTGCACGTGTGATTTCGAGTGTTCTGCCCAGTCGGAGCAGAACAGTAAAACGTTAAACCCCATTGCATTTCTTCCCATCTGAAAGACTAAACGCTGTTTCTTGCACACCTTGGTCGTGAGCCACAACGTTCTTTACCGACTGAGTCACCACGGCTCCCAAGTTTTTATACAATAAGTCAATCAATTATTAAAGATGCAGTATGCACGATTTATATAAAGGGTTGACCATTCGTGCTATCTAGATAAATGCATATATCGAAAACTGGCAAATATTCTGTATTGCTTTAGGAACGCTACTTGTTAATCGAGATTTAGCCTCGCTTCTTTAGACATCTTATATAAGATTACTCTGCGTAGGTCTCGTGTTTTGTCTACGATATCACCTTAGGTGGAAGTGGACGTAAAACCCCAGAAACGAACGAACGAAAAGGTCTCGTGTTCAATCCGAGTGATGGTCGAGAAAGTTCAGTGGTGCATAGCAAAATACAGCGTATATTCGTTCGGATGGGACAAAAAACATTCCCGTAAAAGGGCCTTGCCAGCGGTTGGAATTCCGGTCAATTTTCCCTCATAGCACACTGTATGGCGTATGCCCGTCTTCATTAGTGCATTCGGGGCAGCACAGTACATATGGCTAAAGGAAATGATTAGATGCTCAGACTGAGATATTTGGTTTCATTTATGTATATGAGTATATTATTTTGACTATATCTAGTTTGTCCCATAGTGATCATCATTGCGTTTGGCTCAATAATAAACCTGTCGGTGCTGACGTTGTTGTTTATGGGTGTGGCGTTCTTACCCCCCCCCCCGAAAAAAAAAACAAACAAAAAACAACAACGCAAAAGGCGCCGCTATTTTAAGTACGATCCGATCGAGATGAAAATTGGCATTTTGTTCCTTGGTTACTTAATATTCCAAGATGGCGACGATGACGTCATGATCGGTTCATAGTCGATCTAGTACTAGCGTATTTGTTTTCTATTGTAGACTAGCTATTACAGGTCTTTTTTACGCTGATCACCATTATTTTTGGTCAAATATAGCCCCAAATATAGCCCCATGGTTTCTGAAGTGCCAAACACTACTGTTTCATTTCATATTCTGCAATTTGTAGGTAACCACTTACCGGTTTTCTATATCCTGGTCTCGGATTCTACCAGACGGCACCAATGGTACCATTAACCAGAAAGGTATAGACTATTACAATAATCTTATTAATGAATTATTGAAGAATAACATCAAACCAATGGTGACATTATACCATTGGGATTTACCCCAACAGTTGGAATACAGAGGTGGATGGTTAAACGAGGAGATCAATGACTTCTATGCTGAATATGCCAGAATTTGTTTTCAAAACTTTGGAGATCGGGTGAGTATAACAGAAATACATTTAGAATAATCACTCTAATATCGATATAATAATAATAATAATAATAATAAGAAGACTTTTCAATTTGTATAGCGCAAACATACTTTATGACCTTTTTATTGCGCCTTTCAAGTATGAAAAAAATCATTCATTGAGTTATGATAAACACTGTAAACATTCGAGAGATCTGTTCTGCTGCTACCTTGCGCAAGGGAGATCACTCAATTATTGCAATCAATATAGGCTGTTGACGAGAAAATTGTGTGGTTGGACGTTTATTAATTATATGTGGTTTAATGGTCGAGGCGAGACAATATGTAATATAATGATATTGCGCGAGGACATTAGCCAGGGGGTTAAATCAATGTATTACGCAATGCCTTGCTCGACATCTCATTAGGGCCGTAACTATCCCAGAGCAACGGGGGAGGCGGGAAGTGTTCTAAGGGGTGCTGTAAAATTGACGGACAATGTATATCTATTTTTTTATGGTCGAAATTTTTTTTCACGAAGGCGATACTTTTTGCAGAGGAGGGCAAAGGGGGCTCTGAGCCCTCACTTGTTACGGCCCTGCATCTCACACGTGCATTTCAATGAAATCGTCACGCGAGTCTAATATTTCATCAAGTTTAGAAAACTTACTGTTAGCACGCTGCCAGTACCATTATTCGACGCAAGTGGTACGCCAACACCAAAGAATGACGCCACATGTGTCTTAGACATTTAACTTCATTTCCTTTCAGTTGATTTTTGATATGGTCACCTATCCATATACTGAGCCATTATGGGTTGATATAATATTTGTAACTTGGTGTTTACAGGTTAAATCATGGATTACATTTTTGACGCGGTCGTCTATCCATATGGGTTGAAATATAATATTTGTAACTTGTTGTTTACAGGTTAAATCATGGATTACATTTAACGAACCTTGGGTTGCATCCAATCAGGGTTATGGAGATGGTTCGATGGCTCCAGGTCTTTATGGTCCTGGTACAAACGTCTACATAACAGCTCATAACATGATCCGTTCCCATGCTAAAGCCTATAATATTTACGATAAGGAATTCAGATCTAAGCAAAATGGTAAGGACTTTACATTACTTGTTCAAAGACGTTCAGACAATAAAAGATCCTATTATATGTGTTGGGTTGGATGGCCGAATGGTTAGCACGTGCGTGCTGTATAATAAGGTCTGTCATTGAGTCAACTGGCGTGGTTTCGAATCCCCGGTTGTACGTGACAAGGAATAGAGTAGCCTGTCCAACCTCGTGGGTTTTCTCAGGGTCCTCCGGCTTCCTCTCACTGCTAAAACCCCTACGCGGAAGCGAATTATAGAAATAAAATTGAACCATGTGTTAGTCCCGAAATGACCTAGTTTGTGTCGAGTGGACGTTAAACCCCATTTCTCTTTGTCTTCCATTATGTATTATTTCCATGTTCTAATTGCGTTAGCTGACGACTGAAGGACAATGGGGTTCTATCAACGACGTTCCTCAGTATAAACCAGAAGTTCCCCCATAGACTTTCAAATGAAAGGACCCGTGACAAAAACTGTCAAAAACTACCCCCAAAAGTGAAATGGTTATGAAGGAAAGAAAAGCGTCTTTTCGTTAAGATGGGACAAAAAAACTAGGGTCCTGTGTGTATATTGACGTGTATGTAAATAAAACCTCGGCAGTTTGAAAGAGAAAGTTCGTCTCATAGCACACAACATGGCATTTATTCATCTTCATTATCCCGGTTGGGACAGAAAAGTACGAAGTTAAACCACAGCTTATTTCCTCAACGTTGTATATTATTCATTTTTAAATTCATTTCTAGGAACGATTGGGATCACGTTAAACTTTGGATTTGCTATGGCCAAGGACCCAAGCAATCCTTACGACCTTGAAGCAGAGGACAGATCTCGACAGTTCTCCCATGGCTGGTTTGCTAAACCCATCTTCTTAGACGGAGATTATCCCGAGGTCATGAAAACTCAAATTGCAAAGAAAAGCAAAGCAATTGGTTTAGCAAAATCACGACTTCCAGAATTTACAGCCGAAGAGAAGAAGAGTATACGAGGTAATGCCGCGTGGTTAAAATAGTTTTAACTTTAGCTGACTTTAAATACAGTTACTTCATGAACAGGAACATTATTTTCTTGTTGTTCTGATGGGCCGAAAACCCGTCGGCTATATTTTAATCAAGGTACACTGATAATCTTGAGCTCGGGGTTGGTAGAAAACCTTAGTGCCCAGCAAGAACACCGGATGAGGCATACAGAATAGAAGTAGAGTCGTAAATTGTGAAGTATCTCTGGTAGAGAAATATGGTCCACATGGTGCCGACGTTTCATTTAGTTGTAATTTCAGTATTTGATGTTATGATAATTTTGAATGTTCTACTGTATCTTCTAATTCTTTGTATTGAATACGGATTATAATAAACTAATATTTTGGTAATGTTTAAAAGAACTGTTGATTTTATGGTCCGGTTGGTGCTCATGTGTCATAAAACACATTTTATTTCATTTTATCTCCGATAGCATTTAGATTTAGTATCCAGTCTTTGGTGTAATGATAATTTAGAGTCTTCAAGTGTATCTTCTACTTTTGTATTCAATGCGGATTACATTCGTTGATTTTATAGGATTAATCTTTTATTATAGTAATTATGTTCACAGGTACTGCTGATTTTATTGGTTTAAACTGTTATTCTAGTAATTATGTTTACAGGAACTGCTGATTTTATTGGTTTATTCTATTATTCTGGAAATTATGTTTACACGAACTGCTGATTTTATTGGATTAATCTATTATTATAGTAATTATGTTTATAATAAACTAATATTTTGGTAATGTTTACAGGTACTGCTGATTTTATGGGTTTAAACTATTATTCTGGTAATTATGTTTATGGAAAAGAACTACCTGCTGATCCGCCATCTTATTTTAGTGACCAAGATGTAGTAACAGAAGTTGATCCCGCATGGCCAAGGTAAGTAACCAGTCTGTAACATGATCTGTGTTACACACATCATTGCATCCCAATCTAGAGTCCATTCACATCTTGCTATGGATTGATGTACTGTGGATTTTTTTCCAAGAATAGTTACGCCCATTATTCGGGAAATCAGATTGGCCATAAAACAACATTAGACAAACCTTATGTATATTTTCAGCTCTGGTTCATCCTGGTTGAAAGTTTATCCCAAGAGTTTCAGGATGGTTTTGAACTATTTAAAGACCCAGTACAACCACCCGGTGATATATGTAACAGAAAACGGTGTGTCCGACAGAAACGCCACCATATACGATCAGAACAGAATTAATTATTATAGGGATTATATCAATGAAATGCTTAAAGGTATAGTATATATTTACATCGTAACATGGTGTAGGTAGGAGGGGAGAGCGAGAGGGAGAGAACGAGAGAGAGAGAGAGAAAGAGAGGGGGTTAACGTAAACTCGATACAAATCAGGCCATTTCGAGACTAACATATAGTTAAATTTTATTTCAATAATTCGCCTGTGCGTAGGGGTCTTGAGCAGTGGGAGGAAACCGGAGGACCCGGTGAAAACCCCCGAGGTTGGACAGACGACCCTACTCCATGTCACGTACAATCGGCAATCTAACCCCGTAGGTAGGAGGACAAGAACAGTGTCTAGTCAATCGGATGGTATGAAAATCCAAGGTCACCTGTACATGTTGATGTCCACGTAAATGAAGTCTTGACAGTTGGAATTCGAAATAACAGTAGGTCATGTTGCCACTCTCTGGGCATAATTCTCCTCATAACACACTGTATGGCGTATTCATTCTTCATTATCTCAATCGGTGCAGAACAGCAGGACGTTAAAGATCTGTATTTCCGACCGGTCACATAGCTATATAGCAGGCCTTATGATAACCATGTGATTGTGAGATATATAAGAAATTCGGAATTTGAAAAAAGACGTAGATGAAAACGTTACTCTCCGTGCATGTTTCCCCCTTTAGAATTTATATACGTAGGCATAAATATTACCAGATTTAAGTCTCAAGATTATATGGACGAAACGTTAAACTCCGTTCTATTCGTGCATATCGACCCGATAAACGGCGTACTGATTGGTGGGTGTGAAACTATTACTTTTATATTTTACAGCTATTCGACTCGACGGATGTGACGTAAGAGGATTTGTAGCTTGGTCATTAATGGATAATTTTGAGTGGGCAAGAGGTACGACAGAGAAGTTTGGATTGTTCCAGACCGACTTCAATGATCCGAACAGACCTAGGACCATGAAGGCTTCTGGACGTTATTATGCCCAGGTCATTAAAGATAACGGATATCTGCCCGGTTATCCGGGACCGGCAGGAATGGCCACCGGTCTGGTCCCTTACGAAAATGAGTTTCTGTATGGTGATTTTCCTGCTAATTTTAGCTGGTCAACCGCAACTGCTGCTTATCAGATTGAAGGTGCATGGAACGAAGGAGGTGAGTCATAAATTAGATGATTACTAAAACAACTGTTAGGTGATGCTGGAATACTAAAACAACTTTTAGGTGCTCCAGGGGCCTTATTTACAAAAATTCACTGAACTACTTTAAGAATGCAGTCTTTTGATTGCCTAAGATAATGGAGTTTTATAATCCCCACTCGACCCAAACTAACATACGGTTCAATTTTATTACAATAATTCGCTTGCACGTGGGGGCCTTAATTTATTTTATTTTATAGGAAAGAGTAAGAGTATATGAGGTGTATTTATTTTATTTTGTTTTATAGGAAAGGGTAAGAGTATATGGGATGTATTTAGTCATGTACCTGGTAATGTTGTAAATAATGACACAGGGGATGTAGCTTGTGATAGTTATCATCAATATAAAAAAGATGTACAGCTACTCAAAGATCTGAAGGTAATTTTAAGAACATCGAGTTCAAGATGGTGTTAAAAGTATATTTATATCCACGAAGACCGAGGTCAAGATGGTATTAAAACTATATTTATATCCACGAAGACCAAGGTCAAGATGGTATTAAAACTATATTTATATCCACGAACACCGAGGTCAAGGTGGTATTAAAACTATATTTATATCCATGAACACCGAGGTCAAGATGGTATTAAAACTATATTTATATCCACGAACACCGAGGTCAAGATGGTGTTAAAACTATATTTATATCCATGAACACCGAGGTCAAGATGGTATTAAAACAGTATTTATATCTAAGAATATAAAGGTCAAGATGTTATTTATACTCGGGATAGCAATGGATGTCTAGGTTTCAAGATGTGTGGCTTTGCAAGTAAACGCGCTCGGATAAGACGAAACACTAGGGTTCCGCCTTGATAGTGTTAATACTGCATGACAAAGGAACACACACGGAAAAGCATCTTTATAAGGGTTGAAAATTCGAGGTCCCGTGTATACCCCAGGGCAAATAGAAATACGGGTATATAGATAGAGGCAGTATGCCACAGGGGTATGGTGACCCATGATTTTGCGTCCCTCTCACTATGCCCCTGCTATAGCACACTACTTGATACATGAAATCACCAAAAGACTTATCAAGGGCTATATTTTAGTTAAAACAAGGCGAACAATTTTGAGAAAAGTCTTAAGTCTGAGAATCCTTTGTGAACTAGCACTTTAATAATATAATTGTGTTTTAAACGATAATTGTTATTTCTTTCAAGGTTTCAAAATATCGATTTTCTCTGTCATGGCCGCGTATTCTACCGGATGGAACGCCATCTTCCTTGAACCAAGCTGGTGTTGATTATTATAATAAACTTATTGATGAACTACTGGCTAATAATATACAACCAATGGTTAGTTTGTATCATTGGGATCTACCTCAAGCATTGTCCGTACAGGGAGGATGGTTAAACGATTCCATAGCCGACTGGTTTGCTGATTACTCCCGTGTGTGTTTCAAGGCCTTTGGTGGAAAGGTACGTATTGGTTGTCTAATGAACGCTGAAGATCGGTTCCCGACCTTACTGGGTGTGCAACCCGTATGCTTAGAAATTTACCCTCGAAGCCCTACCCCTTGATGAATTCATAGCGAACATTAAGCCCCACGAACGACGTCAACGTCATAGCGATCTATTTTGATTTTCGATTAGACCTTTCTTCTTTACTATTTTGCTGTACAAAGTAATTTGTTTAATTATTGCACTGTGTTGGTCTTTCAAGGAGAAATAGATGACAAGGGCTCGCCGACAAATAAAATAGATGCATTATGTAAGGTTAGATAAAGAGCTGGCCATTCTCGCAAAAATAATTCAAAACTAGATAATGAAAGGGGATATCTTGAAAGTTTCAGTCAAATCACTTCAGACTGAACGACGTTAGGGTTGTTTGAAGAATAGACGAGTCTCTATTGTCATAGCTACCGTTATTACGATGTTAAACAAAGTCTCGATTATCCAATAATCATTAACCGGCCATGATGTTGAAGATCTCGAGCATCCAATGGCATCGAGAGTTGATTATAGTCTTGAGAATTCCTTATTTCTTGACAAGTTAATAAATGTCTATTTATTAATTAATAATTTTTATAACAATTAAGACCTACAGAAAGACCTGCAATAAGCAGATTTAGCTCTTGCATAGCGCATCTTTACAAAGTTAAATCTACTTCCAGTTCGTTTCATTATTTGCTTACCTACAGGTAAAATATTGGATGACTATCAATGAACCCGCGTCCATCTCCGTCATTGGTTATCAGAATGGTGTATTTGCTCCTGGAATAAAGGGTGGTACTACAGCTCGTTATCGTGTGGATTATAATATGTTAAGAGCTCACGGGAAAACATATCGACTCTATGAGAAGGAATTTAAAGGTGCACAGAAAGGTAAGAATTTAAAGATGCACAGAAAGGTAAGAATTTAAAGGTACACAGAAAGGTAAGAATTTAAAGGTGCACAGAAAGGTAAGAATTTAAAGGTGCACAGAAAGGTAAGTATTTAAAGCTTAACAGAAAGGTGAGAATTCAAAGCTGCACAGAAAGGTAAATCATAACTCCTGAATTGACACTCGTACCCGGGATATGGAGTATGCCAGTCTACATTAGCCTAGTCGGTTGAGTCAGTAGGATGCCAAATCCCATTTTATTATGTGTTTTGTTTTTCTTCTGACTGGTTTATTATTTTTTTTTTCATTGGGTGGGTTATTTTTGTTTTTCATTTAAATGTTGGTTTTTTTTGTTTTGGGTTAGTCGCGCTGTAAGGGAAAAGGTAAATGTGATCTGGGTTAGAGGTCTCTTACTTGAATTGTAATATTAGTGCACCCCCCCCCCCCCCCCTTTAACCATTATTTGTTTTCTGGAAATTGCTTAAATAGTGATTCGGGGAAAGCCAGATATGAAACTGCTCGGAGGACTTCCACGGGTAAAACTTGATTAAAAGCTATTTTTATCTCGCAAAATACTCCACACCAATGAATAGAACGTAACGCCGCTTTACGGGCAAAATTTCCCTCATAGCACACTGTATGGCATGTGCCCGTCTTCAATAAGTCAGTTCGAGCAGAACATTAGGATGTTATATGCAATTTTATTTCCTTTAAGTACATGTGATTGGAGTCGTACGTTAAACCCCATTTTATTTCGTTTCATTTATATCTAATGGGTCTACGGAAATAGATAATATGACCCAGTGTGTAACTCGTGGAATATTGTTTGGATAATTTCAGGAATGGTGGGCATAGTAATATCTGCAGGAGACGATAAACCTAAAAATCCTTTAGACAATTCTGATGTGGAAGCTGCTGTTAGATCTGCAGAGTTTGGTCATGGGATTTACGCCAATCCTATATATGGAACAGGGGATTTTCCAGACATTGTTAAGCAAATAGTAGCTGAAAAATCATCTGCCGATAAGGCTCCAAATCGTCTTCCTACTTTTACCCAAGATGAAATCAAAATGATAAAAGGTATGTTTGATATACGCCAACAGAAATATTCATTAAGAATGTCAGGTTCTGGATTTGGATAAATATCCGATAAGATTTTAATATGATTTGTACCTGTTCAGCTTTTTGTTATGATCTGTACCCATGATCAGGGTGGGGGCTGGTTGAATGGTTAGCACGTGTGCTTTGTATCATAAGGATTGTCATTGAGTCAACTGGCGGGGTTTCGATTTCCCGCGTGTACGTGACAAGGAGTATAGGTCGCCTGTCCAACCTCGTGGTATTCCCCGGGTCCGCCGGTTTCCTCCCACTGTTAAATACCCCTACGCGCAAGCGAATTATTGAAATAAAATTGAACCATGTGTTAGTCCCGATATGACCTACTTTGTGTCGAGTGGACGTTAAACTCTCTCTCTCTCTCTCTCTCTCTCTCTCTCTCCTCTGGTGGTTGTTTCCCGAATCGACTTTGTGTTGAGTTGACGCCAACCTGATCCAATATCGTTATTAGATAGTCGTCCAGATGGTTTGAAAAACCGAAGTCCTATGAACATATTGACATATTAAAAGAACCCATGGCAGCAGCTGGAAACAGAAATACGAGTAGGTCGTGTCGCCAATGTTCAGACAAAATTTGTGCAGAAAATTGAACGTTAAATCCCACACCTTTTAGTTTTCCGGTGCATATATTCGTAGTCGAATAGGCTTAGCAGTTGTTGTGCCGATTTCCGCAAAATAATGGTACATACCTATTGTAATATATTACAATGCAACCCTTTATCATTCACAGGAAGTGCCGATTTTTTCGGATTGAACCTGTATACTGCTAGTCTTGTATCTAATGATCCATCCGGTCAGTCAGAAGCCAACACCATTTCCGGACCAGATCCGAATTGGCCAAGGTAAGTTGGAAATAAAGTTGGGCTTATTGTCTTGTTTTCCCCTAAGTCAGTTTATTTACTTCCTGAAAGACAAAAAAATAGTTTGATGTCTCTAGGGCAAAAACCGTTCCTTTTTTTTACTCAACAGCACCGCCTCCAAACAAACAGAAATAGACACAGAACCCATGCAAATGGAATGAGAAATGAAATGAAATGGAGTTTAACGTCCTACTGTTCTGCTCCTGACTGGGCTAATGAAGACGTCATACGCCATACAGTGTGCTATGTGGAAAATTTTGCCCGGACAGCGGCACTATGGCCTACTCTTATATCGAATTCCAACTGTCAAGAGATCTTTTACGTGCACGCCAATGTGTATACGGGACCTCGGTTTTTCGTCCCATCCGAACGACTAGTCAGCTGAACTTGTCAGGCCCTCCGTCCTGCATCACTGACAAGGGGAAACCACGCCGGAAAATCGGGATGAACTTTTTCAGCCAACGCAGGGATCAAACACCCGACCTCAAGGCTAGCGAGCCAGCGTCTTACCCACTTAGCCACCGTGATCCCTAAATGGAAAGAGTGATGGGTGTTTAATGTCCTACTGTTCTAATAAACAACAAACGTACTATTAACTCAAGTAAATGACCGATATCCTCACAGAATCATATCAAGGGCGACAGTCCAAGAAACAAATATTTTGGGAATATTTTCCAAACAATGTCCTATTCTGGGGGGTTGGGTGGCCGAATGGTTAGCACGTGCGCGCTGTATCATAAAGCCTGTCATTGAGTCAACTGGCGTGGTTTCGAATCCCAGGTGGTGCGTGACAAGGAGTAGGGTTGCCTGTCCAACCTCGTGGGTTTTCTCCGGGTCCTCCGGTTTCCTCCCACTGCTAAAGACCCCTACGCGCAAGCGAATTAATGAAATAAAATTAAACCATATGTTAATTAGTCCCGAAATGACCTAGTTTTTGTCGAGTAGACGTTAAACCCCATCTCCCTCCCCTCTCTCTCTCTCTCTCTCTCTCTCTCTCTCTCTCTATGTCCTATTCTAGTTTATGTCATAATCAACAATATTATACAAGGAGGAGGGGGGGGGGGGCAAATGGTTAACACGTGGACGTTGAATCATGATTGGGCCAGGTGGCGTGGTTTTGATTTCCCGCTTGTACGTGACAAGGAGTACAGTCGCATTGAACATTGCATTGGATAAACTCTGAAGTTATATAACCAGATATAACTACTGTGGTCCCGGGAGCAGATGTCGATTCCCGCCCTACTACAAACGAACAAAAGAAAATGTGAACTGATGTGCAAATTGGTTTCTTTTTTTTTCCAAATATTCCAGTTCCGGATCCAGCTGGCTGAAAGTCACACCATTTGCATTAAGAAAAATGCTTAACAGAATTAAATATAGCTATGGCGATATTCCTGTTTTTATAACAGAAAATGGTGTTTCTGACCTCACTGGAGAATTAAATGATGTAGATAGGATTACCTACTATAAGCTGTATATCAACGAGGCTCTAAAAGGTACATTAAAGTCCTACTTCAAGTCGACAATCAACGTTTTATTATTTTGTTTTTAGTAATCAAGAGAGAGAGAGAGAGAGAGAGAGAGAGAGAGAGAGAGAGAGAGAGAGAGAGGGCGAGAGAGAGAGAGGCGGGGGGGGGGGGCAAGGTCCACTCCTCCACTCGACACACACTAAAAATTGGTGTAATTGCTTGCGCGTAGGGGTCTGTAGCAATGTGAGGAAACCTGAGGACCTGGAAAAAATACAAGAGGCTGCACAGGCCTGGTTCAATGACAGACCTTCTGATCCAACGTGCACGCGTTAACCATCAGACACTAAACCCCACCCCTCTTATAGTAATCAATTGTCTAAATATAAGGCATCTGTCGCAGACATTGCCGAACAGAAATTCCAATTTTGTAACATGCAAACTCTTAAAGGAACTAATCGCTAAGGTTTGGGACCTAGATATTGACAGGAAATGGGTCTCAACGCATATAATAATGTAATTTGTATGTATATAAACTAATTTACATTCAATTGTTTCCGTTTTTACTCTAATTTCAAATCAGTTATGTTCGGCGAGATACACCAGAAGTCTCAATTGACCTAGTTTGTGTCGAGTGGACGTTAGACCCCATTTCTCTAGCTCTATATCTCTAATCACTAACAATGAACACTTTGAGGTTTATTCACAAAACAGCATCCGTTTCAAACTTATTGTTTGAGTTAATGAGGCTAGAATTGAGTCACAAGAATAAATTGTCTACTTCGGGAAAGCAGGTCAATAAACAGACTTTATAATTTGTTATAAACGGATTTCAAAATGGAGTCTTAACAAAAGTTGAATAAATAAATTAACAGGTTGTATCAATAAATTAAAGGCCCAACATCATTCTTGTTGTAACTGAATAATATGTCCCAATCTTTATTCTGGTCAACAAATTGTACTATTTTACATTATTCCAATTAATTGATGATACAAATTTCATCTTAACACACCTAATTTAAAAAATTGGAAAAATTCAACTAAATGATTTGAAAAGCCTGATGTAAAGCTTTTCAAATGTGACTTGGATTTAAAAATATTTTTGAACCCTGGATAATATACACAACAGGTAGGACATTTTGCCTATACCGTTTTTTTAGGACTTCGAATTTTGTCTATGGTTTGGATTGTTCGTACTTGGTTTTATTTTTTTTTTCTTTCACTGACATGGAAAATGATTAAACATTGATGAATGGCGATCGGCATTGAAACCATTTCATCGTGTTATGAATAACCTACAAAGCTGTCGATTTAAACGGTTATCAAGTTTAATGTTAAATAGGCGAATTACGTGTACTGCATACCATTGGGGGTGCTCGATTGTCAATTCGAAACGTCCCGACAGCATTAAAAGCATTGTAATCAAGTGATACGGGATTCAGCCATATTGCAGTTCTGTCAGCTCCGACAGCTGAGTTGGCGTGAGTAGAATTGTGACGTATTTTAAATAACAGATATGTTTCAGTTGCCATTATTGGTTGAATTTTCTTTTATGCAGTCGACACATGCGTTGTACTCTGAAATTATCCTTTTCACTCGATTGCTACTATTTTTGGAATTGAGACAATTTAATCTCGAAACGTTCAATCGAGTAACCGGTTAGTGCTAAATAATAAGGCCAGCTCAATTGTTCGTCATAGGTCACGAACTGTAAACAGGGCTAACGCTAATCCCAACCTTAACCCTAACCCTGGACCTAGCCTCAATACTTACCCTAACCCTAACCTATAATCTCGCAAATAATTACGTGGCTTAACCTTATTTACATCTCGGCGACATTTACAAAAATTGAGCTGGCCTTATCATTTAGATTTAACCCCATTATGAGATTGATTGGTTATTACTTGACAAAACTTGAGCTGGCCTTAACAAGTAGATTTAGCCTTGAGTAAGCCCATTATGACATTGCTTAGTTATTACTTTATGAAATATGAAATATAACCCTATTTTGCACTTTATTTTACAGCAATCAAATTTGACAATGTTAACGTCATTGGTTTTACGGCTTGGTCACTAATGGACAACTTTGAATGGGCGAGAGGTTACTCAGAAAAATTTGGTCTTCACCAGGTTGACTTCAATGACCCACAACGTCCTCGAAAGGCAAAAGCATCGGCTCGTTGGTATTCACTGTTGGCAAGCGACAATGCATTTAAGCCCGGATATACGGGTAAAGGTGGACGAGGAACTGCAGTTCAGATGGAAAATGAATTTTATTATGGAAAATTCCCGGCTGATTTTGCGTGGGGTTGTGCTACTTCCGCTTACCAGATAGAAGGTGGATGGAACGCGGACGGTAAGATGTTCGTCAAAACTTATTTCCGCGGATCATTATTTCCATGTTTCTCTCAATAATGAATTTTTCAAGACTTTATCCACGCAAAAAATTAATTTAAACATGCATTTTGCAAGAGCTAAATCTGCCTTTTACAGGTCTTTCTTTTAGCCTGAAATGTTGAATAAACTATTAATTAGACATCAACTAACTTATCCAAACCATAATCAACTCTCGATGCCATCGTTTATCTGCGGTATTTACTGGATTTGAATACATTTTTTGATGGATATTAACGGTAGATAATCCCAAGGTTTCGATTCAATCGAATTAAACAGAGTCTGATCAAGGGATTTTATATATAACTCAAAAGGGATTCCAGGTTTTGACGAATTTCAATTCATGGTATCTTTGTAAAGACCTTTCGGACGGGTACTCAATTTAGAGATCCATCTGTCGCAGTATTTTGGTTTGAGTTTGCAGCTAGACTTTTAAAATACCTAGAATAGCTGAAATGAAACGGGGTTTAACGTCCTACTGTTCTGCTCCGACTGGACTAATAACGACAGGCATACAGTGTGCTACAATTGAAACTATCATGGGATCTTTTACGTGCACTCCACTGCATACACGTAACCTCGACTTTTCGTCCCATCTGAACGACTATATAGCTGTCTTTGTCGATACCCTCCGTCCTGCACCGCTGACAAGGGGAAACCACGCCGGAATATCCCGATGAACTTTCTCGGGAGCGAAACCACGACCTCCGGGCTAGCGAGCTGGCGTCTTACCCACTTAGCGACCGCCCCCACCCCCAATACTCAATCCTTTATATATTTTATATCACGTTTTTATATTCTTGTGTTTTAGGTAAAGGGCCGAGTGTCTGGGATACGTCAACAGCTAAAGGATTATCTTATGGTAAAGAAACGGGACAGATAGCTTGTGATAGCTACCATAAATATAAAGAAGATGTCGATAAATTGAGAGATCTGGGTGTAAGCCATTTTAAATCAGGTTAAGCATACATTATGCAACAGCGAAATCTGCCTTTCTTTAGGCCTGAAATGTTATCTAAATTATTAATTAGACTTAATTAAACATACATTATGCAAGAGCTAAATCTACCTATTGCAGGTCTTTCTTTAGGCCCGAAATGTTATCTAAATTATTAATCAGACATTAATTAACTTATCTAGACTATAATCAACCCTCGATGGCATCGCTAGCCTGCGATATTTATTGGATTAGGATCAGATTTGCTGCTCAACTTTCATTGATGGAATTCGATATAAGAGTAGGCCTTAGGCCCATAGTGCCGCTGCCCGACAAAATTTCTCTCACAGCATACTGAATAGATACTGTATGGCGTATGCTCAGTCGGAGCCGAACAGTAGGACGTTAAACCCCATTTCATTTCTTTAATTGTATTTCAGGTGAATCACTATCGATTTTCTATTGCCTGGTCCAGAGTTTTACCCAATGGTACTATATCATCATTGAACCAAGCCGGATTAGATTACTATCATAATCTGATTAATCTGTTAATCTCCAACAATATCCAACCTGTTGTCACCCTGTATCACTGGGATTTACCTCAAGCTCTTTCTGATCGTGGTGGATGGACAGATAGTTTTATCACTGATGCCTTTACACAATATGCTGATCTCTGTTTCAAGGAGTTTGGAGATAAGGTAAGGAGACATTCATTCCACAATGACACCCATCGTTCTGCCAATCAATAATGTCTTTACACAATACGCTAATCTGTGTTTCAAGGAGTTTGGAGATAAGATAAGAAAATAATCAATCAACAATCACACTCATCGTTCAAGGAGTTTGGAGATAAAGTACTGCAAATCTGATTAAAACACAGATCCTGTTTCGTTTCGTTTAGGTCACAATTTCGTGTTCTTGTCTTTACAACACTAGGATCTGGAAGAGTTGTTATAAAACCAACGTTCTGGATGATGTGATGGAAAGGGTAATGAAGCGGTCTGCTGCAACGATTTCTTGGCGTACGATGCTCGACACTGTGGGTATCCTACTAGAAACATCAACGCTGATTGGTTAATCAAATGTCTGCAGTCATAGGGTCAAAAGCCATTCGTATGACCCCTGACTCGACTTCCAACTATAACTGGTCAGATCTTCGTGTAGTAGAAGCCATCGAAAGTATAAAAAAAAGAAATATAGATCTTTATTTTAATCAGATTGGAGTATTGTATTCATTTGACACCCATCGTTCAAGACTCCCGTTAATGTGTACTCATTCGGCACCCAGCGTACTATTCCCACGTTTCAAAGAATTTGGAGATAAAGTACTATAATATGTATATTCATTCAGCACCCATCGTTTAGTTCCCCATTTCAAGGATTATATTGAGATTGTACGTCTGAGTTTATATTTATTTGCAGGTTAAACTGTGGATCACATTTAACGAACCACAGGTTTTTACCACTGGTAATTTTGATTTACGGGGAAAAGATGGAATTCTGCCGTACAAGAAAGCACATAATGTTTTAATATCTCACGGTATGGCGTATCGACATTATCATACCAAATATGCGGCTACCCAGAAAGGTAAGTGCAATGCCTGCATATACCATGCTAAAGATAAAAATGGGGATATGTCAAGAATGAATAATGAAATGCGGTTTTATTGCACGTCAGCACCCACCGGTCTTTTTGCGCCAAACATATGGCGAATTATTCGACACAAAATAAAAGAAATCACAGAAATATATTGATATCCATCAATCAAAACAAATATCACAGATAACATATATGATTAAAAATAAATAGCAAATACTTTATATGAATATACAGAATTAACATGAAAGAAAACAGGTTATATATACAGTTAAAACTTATAATAAAATTTTTAAAATATTCAGGATCTTACAATATAGCCCCGGTTGAGCGGCATACGTCAAGAAGTGTGTTATCAGGAAAGTTTACCCAGACAGTGGCGTTCCCCGTCTATTGTTCGTCGAATTACAACTGTCAAGGGCTTAACGATCTTCCTAACTGCCCTGCCCTCCAACAACATTCATAAGGGGAAATAACTCCCAAAAAGTAGTTATTGGGTAGACAATATGGCGTTATTAAGTAATGTGAGGAAAAATCGTGACTATATTCGTGTTTAATTCAGTTATGGAACGAAATTGAATGGGGTTTTATAACTCGTCAACCCACGTCAGTTCCGTTGAGACTAACATTTGTTAAGTTTTATTTCTGTGGCTAAAGAACAATGCGAGACGTCTACTACCGGACAGCCATGTTTCCTTATACTTCCATCTGTTAGAGGTTATTTTACCAACACGTCAATGTGTACACGACTGCAAATGAAATGACGGGTTTACCGTCCTGCTTTTGTGTTCCTATGGGCCTAATGAAGACGGGCATGGACAATGCGGTGTGCTATGGGGACAATTTTTGCCCGGACAGCGGCGCTACAGCCTACTCTTATTTCGAATTCCAACTGTCAAGCAATCTTTTAGTTGTACGCTAATGTGTACACGGTACCTCGGATTTTCTTTGAATCCGAACGACTATAGGCTGTCACCTGCCAGGAATTCCGTCCTACACCAATAGCAAGTGAGAACCACGCCGGAAAATCCTGATCAATATTCTCGGCCAATGCAAAGATCGAACACAGGGCCTCCAGGTTAGCAAGTCAACATCTTACTCAATAAGCCACCGTGGCCCCGTACATAACAGGACCTGTGTAACAGTTAACTTCTCCATCAATTGTCTTCAAATTACTTCTGTTGTTTCTTCTAGGTAGAGTAACCATCACCTTGAATGGAAATTGGGCAGAACCAAAGAATCCTCTCAGTTTGTCTGACTACGAAGCCTCTGACTGGACGATGCAGTTTACATTTGGTTGGTTTGGACATCCAATCTACGTCAATGGTGATTATCCACCAATAATGAGAGAACGCATCGATCGAATCAGTAAAGAACAGGGTTTTAATACATCGAGGTTACCCACATTCACACCAGTCCAGATGAACATGATCAAAGGTAAGGTTACCTACTGTCACACCAGATCAGACGAGGTAAACATGATTAAAAATAAGAGTACCTACTTTAACGACAAACCAGATGGGCACGAAAAAACGTAAGGTTACCCACATTCACGACAGACCAGATGGACATGATCAAAGATAATATTACCCACATTCAAACCAGACCAGATGAACATGACCAAAGGTTAGGTTACCACATTCACGACAGACCAGATGAACATGTTCAAAGGTTAGGTTACCCACATTCAAACCAGACCAGATGAACATGGTCAGCGGTAAGGTTACCCACATTCACACTAGACCAGATAAATACGATCAAAAGTAAGGTTACCTTTCACGACAGACAAACCAAAAAAGGCATGATAAAAGGTAAGGTTACCCACATCACACCAGATCAGATGAACATGATCAGAGGTAAGGTCACCCACATTCACAGATCAGATGAACATGATCAAAGTTAAGGTTACCCACATTCAAACCAGATCAGATGAACATGATCAAAGGTAAGATCGCCCACATTCGAACCAGACCAGATGAACATGATCAAAGATAATATTACCCACATTCAAACCAGACCAGATGAACATGATCAAAGGTAAGGTCACCCACATCACACCAGATCAGATGAACATGATCAGAGGTAAGGTCACCCATATTCACAGACCACATGAACATGGTCAATGGTAAGATTACCCACATTAAAGCCATGGTCAAAAGTAGGATTATTGACTAGAATCCGATGGCCTAGGGTTCAGCCTGTCAAGCCTGTCAAGGTCAATCCAGCACCAGTTTTCTGTATAGCAAGGTGATTTAAACAGACATATTATTAGATTTCCATGATTTTATTGGCATGACAAAGGGTATAAATATGTAATTTATATGGTCACATCCTTAGCTTGTTTTTGTATCATATCTTTAAAAATTGTAATGTAATATAATATGATATTTGATGTTTAAACCATTGGCATGAATCTGTATTCGGCTGATATTTATATTATAAGGTTCCCATGATTATATTGGTTTAAATCTGTATTCGGCTGATTTGGTAACGAAAGTAGAAAATGATACAGCTGGGATGGAAAAATCAGAGTATGGTAAAGATTTTGGAATAACAGGCATGAAAGATCCCAACTGGAAGAAGTAAGTTTGATCCAAACCGTTTTCATTTCTTTTAGGAATTAAATTATCTAAATGAACCAGCATTTGTGAGAGAAAAAACATTTTATACATAGATGCCACACAATTATTTTAAAACTGTTGATTTGTATTTACCGCATTCTTAGCCATTGGTTTTATGAATGTGAGTTAGTTGTATCTTACGTCCGCTTCCACCGATGTGATATCGCAGACAACCATTGGTTTTAGACACCGCCAACCTGTAATTCCTACTAATTGGTCAGCCACGAATGTAGTTACTGTTATTTATAGGCTCTTCTATCCGTTTTCATTGCAAATTATTTTGGTAAAGAATTGAAGAGGGGTGTATAAATTCATTATTATTTAATTTTATCTGGAATGTTTTATTGAATATTCATGATTTTGAGGGTTTTTTTGTGCGACAGCTAGCTTCAAGTCGTCGCGTTTCTGGCGAACCGACGAATCTGATATATTTAAGTACTGAGAATTATGCGTTTGAAATTTGCGTTCTGTTGTTATCTCTGTAGCCATCAAATAATAACATTTATGTTAATGGCGTTCGGTTTCCTGATGTATATGTATGAAATATTAAATCACAAATGAATGTTATTATTTGATGTCCACAGATATAACAACAGAACGCAAATTTCAAACACATAATTCTCAACACTTAATTATATCAAATTCGTATGTTCATCAAAGGAGCGACGATGTATGCTTCTTACAGTTATGGTTTTCAAGATTTACTTGATTAACCCCATACATTCATTTGAGCACATGTTGCGACATCTGTGGTAAAAAGATCAACCCAAACAAAATTTGGGGAACAGTTAGACCTATGCTAATTGAAGATTACTAACATTACTGTTTTTGATTGGTCGATAAAAATAGCACATGTATCAAGGGCAGATAATTTGACTTCATGTGTCCTATGTAAATAGACCCAGGGTTTAGTGGAGTAGAACGGAACGATACCACTGGGAATACCGAGAATGTATATGTGACCATACAAACGACTTTTTTATACCTTCTTTCTTCGCCTTATAGATCAGCTTCAACCTGGTTAACCGTGAATCCTTGGTCTATAAGAAAGTTGTTAAATTGGGCGAAGGTTAATTTTGGAGCTGAAGACATCTATATAACAGAGAATGGTTTAAGTGATAAAACGGGTACTAGAGATGATGTTGATCGTGTGGAATTCTATAGATATTATCTAAACGAAGTATTAAAAGGTAGGTCAATCAAATAACAATATCACAGCCTTTCATTTAAATATGCATTATGTAAGATTTAGGTAAAGAGCTGATAGTTAAACACTAGATAATGAAAAGGGAATATCGTGAAAATTTAGGTAAAGAGCTGATAGCTATACACTACATAATGAAAAGGCAATATCTTGAACATTTCAGTCAAATTACTTCATTCTGAGCAACGTTAGGGCTGTCTGGATAATAGCGGAATCCCAATTGATAAAGCGCTGACAGTTCTTTCTATAATAGTTCAAATGAAATGAAATGTGGTTTAAAGTCCTACTGTTCTGCTCCGAACTGAGCTAATGAAGACGGGCATACGCCATACAGTGTGCTATGAGGGACATTTTGCCCGGACCGCGGCACTACGCCCTACCCTAATATCGAATTCCAACTGTCAAGGGATCTTTTACGTGCCAGGCTTGGAAATTCCAAGTGTCTTTCTCGATCAGCAAAATGACAGAACACCTAACCCTATCCCTTACACTCTGGTTACCGAGCCAACTCCATACTAGGTACTCTCGAAATAATGAAATAAATTTCTCGTATACGTTAGTCACGTGGTGCAGGAGGACCGCACCACGCATACACAATTACACAAGACACAACCACAATGACAGCACAATATACAACGACATTTCAAACAATACATTTCAAACAATACATTTCAAACAACAACTAACATAGATATCGAATCATGTTAATGGATCCTATGGAAGACCAAACAGCTCTTTATTCAATGTTCTTAGTCGTCCTTATTTCTTAATTCATAGTCCTTAATTCTTATTTCTTCATTTGTTGTCGTATTTCGACACTTCTACACTAAAAGAACACTGAATAAAGAGCTGTTTGGTCTTCCATCGGATGCATGGGTCATCCGTATACGTCCTCTGTGCTGTAAAGTTGTCGTGGCGTCAAGAAAAAATGAAAACAAACTTAACAATAATGGAAGACATCCATGAACAAAAGGGGAATATTCCGAGGCGTTGTAACATACTGGTGTGAGTCATAATAGGCTATACTATAAAGTAATTTTGACTTTATTTCAGCGATCGATTTGGACAAAGTTAAAGTTCGTGGTTTCATGGCTTGGTCATTGATGGATAACTTTGAATGGGGAAGTGCTACATCTCAGAAATTTGGACTGTATCAGGTTGACTTTAATGACCCCAAGAGACCAAGAAGACCCAAAGCTTCGGCAGCGTTTTATTACAAACTAATAAAAGACAACGGTTTTCTTCAGGGCTCAACAAGCGACCCTGCCACCAAGCTTGTCTTACCATATCAAGATGATTTCTTGTATGGAGATTTTCCAGCAAGCTTTTCTTGGGGTGCATCTACAGCTGCTTACCGAGTAGAAGGTGGCGGTCGCGCTGATGGTATGTAAAGATTGTTTCGTCAATATTTAAAAAATAAACAACCAGTTATTTTACTTAGTATTGTGATTTGTATGAAGTGCATTGTGTTTATCGAATTTGAATTGCTGATGGTCATTAACTACCAAATTGAACACTTGAGTAAGGTTTGTCGTCCCATTTAACACGGGTCTTTTGAAACATGTGTATTTTCTTTCGGAGAGTAGGTGTCCAACTGTTAACATTCTGATGTCCTAGCTTATGCTACGTTTCCACTTTCGTGCGATGCATTGAGATAGGATTGTGCCTATTGAGTCCACGATCTCGTACGTGCATATAGGCTCGGATACGTTTCGATACGATCAACACGATTGGTACGAATGACCTCAATATATGATAAGATCTGACAGGATCACCATGATTACTCGCAGCACGAATAGTGATAGTGGGAACCTTGCATTACTACGTCACCCAAACTGCATTCAGTAGCCCAAATGTTGAAGTGTAGAATATCTTAGTACCCAGGAATATTCAGTCCCCCCATGATGAAGTTAACGTGTGTTATTATATATTACAGGTAAAGGAGAAAGTATATGGGATCGTTTTGAAGATAGGTCAATCTCCGACAATAATTCCGACTACAAGAAACCAGACAGCTATATACATTATTTAGACGATCTAGGAGCTCTTACTCAAATCAATGTAAACTGAAATTATCTCTCAAATTCCATATCCACTTACATACCATTCCATTTAGTTTGTTAATATTAAAGCCACTGATTGCCATTTCATGGATTATGATTCACTTGCTAGTTGAATTTCATTTCGCATTTCCAAAGATACATAATGAATTGAAAATTTCGCATCCTTTAGAGACGACCTGAACAGGCCAGAGACACATATACATATTATTCTACGGGACTCTTTTCAATTGATTGAACAAAAACCGGGGATTATCTGGTAATGTGTTCATTTTGTGTTCTTAATTATATGTTATTTAATCCGTAAAAAATTAGATATTTTTGTACGAAAATGACGATCAATAGCCTTATACATCACAGAACAATAAATCGAAACGGCTATTAGCGTTGACAGAGCATTGTTTGTCATTTTGTAAAATTCTTCGTCTCCTTCTTTTGTTCGATGTATTTTTAAATCAATATAATTTTCTCAATTTTAGGCAAAGCATTATCTATTTAGTATATCATGGTCACGAATCATGGCTGACGGAACTACCAGAACTGTGAATCAAGCCGGTATACGATATTACAATAATCTGATTAATGAACTGGTGGATGCTGGAATAGCACCAGCAATATCTCTATATTACTGGGATTTACCTCAAGCATTACAGGATCGTGGTGGATGGCTGGACGCTTTCACGGTCGACGCATTTCACCAATATGCTCGCTTGTGTTTTAATGAATTTGGAGATCGGGTATATTAGCTATTTTATATTATTTCCGTCGCTTTTTATTACAATCAAAAAACAAAAAAAATTACAATCAAGGTTTTTTTTGATGGCCGAATGGGTAGCACGTGCTGTATCATAAGGTCTGTCATTGAGTCAACTGGCGTGGTTTCGAATCCCCGGCTGTACGTGAAAAGGAGCAGGGTCGCCTGTCCAACCTCGTGGGATTTCTCCCGGTCCTCTGGTTTCCTCCCCTACGCGCAAGCAAATTATAGAAATAAAATTGAACGATGTGTTAGTCCCGAAATGACCTAGTTTGTGTCGAGTGGACGTTAAACCCTCTCTCTCTCTCTCTCTCTATCTCTCTCTCTCTCTCTCTCTATTACAATCAAGAGATGCCTGCAGTGCTCTTGGCTCATTGTGTAAGCCCAAAGAGTTCATCGGGATTGTTGAGAGTTGGATCCCTTCTTTATAATCAGTCACATGAAGGTTCTCATCTACAGCTAAACTAGGAATCAGTTCGGGAAGGTTTAGGTTTGTCAAAGACATTGGAGAGATATATAGTCTGTTATAGCAAAAATCTTATTATGAAGTTATACTGCAAGAGGATAATTATCTTGAAGCCTGTGATATCTGAAGGCATTCGTGCACCCTTTATTTAAAACAGAGTTAATGCCGGTTGTTGATGACACAGATTAAGAGATAGTGAAAGTGGTATACATCTATTTTTGATATTGTTCATTACATTTGCAAATTTCAGAATGATTAAGTTTTTGAACTTGGGGCTAAGCTCCTTTATAAAAGCCTAAGGCTGTCCCCATTCGAGTACGATCCACACGCCACTGGACATGCTTGTTATCTGGACGATAACATGCATCGATTGATGAACGTCATACTTGGTTCCATGGTTGGTATTGTCCACTCGTTCTTGTTGTATATAATCTTATTATTTCATCAGTGTTGTCCTAGGCTGACAAGGCAATGAAATTCGTGTTACTAATTAAAATACAGATCTATATTTCGTTTCGTTTTTTTATACTTTCGATGGCCAACACTACATGAAGAGCTGGCTGGCCAGTTGCACTGGAAGGTCTCGACAAGGGGCGTACGAGCGGCTGTTGACCATATGACGTCAGACAGGCAGATGGTTTTATCGGCTAATCCCTCACGCCATCCTTAACGCTTGTTATATAACAACTCTTCTAGATCCTAGTGTATTGCAGACAAATAAAACGAAATTTTGAACTATAAAAAAACGAAACGAAATAGGATCTGTGATTTAATCCGATTGTGTTACTAGCCGTCACTGGTTTATTTCTTTATTAGGTAAAGACGTGGATAACGTTAAGTAATCCTAGAATTCATGCTGACCAAGGATATAACACAGGAGAAATGGCACCCAGTCATCAAGGCAATCGGGCTGACCTTTTCAAAGCTGGTCATAACATGCTCCTGGCGCATGCTCACGCATACCATTTATACTATGACGAATTTAGACCTGTACAAAGAGGTGTGTATATTCAAAGTGTTTTCCAGGGTGTTCTTGGGTTTAGGTTTCCTTTCACCCCTGTTTGTTTTGTATTTGTTTAAATTCTCATATGTCATTTCAGGACACACACGTGTCATCAAGAAGGATTTAGCCATGCTATCGGCGTTTTGTTGATTTTCAACTGTCAAGGGTTCTTTACGTGCACGCCAATGTATACACGAATGGGTCTCCGGTTTTTATTTCATCCGAAGGAATATTCACACCTCAATGATCAACCCACAGGAATCAATCCTTGACAATTGAAGGCCTCTCTTGAAAATCCAAGATGTGTCTCGCAGTCCTATATCAGTAGAATATATGTTGTTTCTATTTTTAAAGGTCAGATCGGTATAGCTCTTACCGGAAGTTGGTCGTACCCTAAAGACCCCTACGATCCTGCGGACCATTTTGAAGTTGAAAAGGATATGGCGTTTGGATTAGGCTGGTTCGCACATCCTATTTTATCAACGGGAGATTACTCCAACTTAATGAAAACTCAAGATGTCAACATACCCACTTTAAGCGTAGACCAACAGAAGATGCTGAAAGGTAATGGTTGTTTGTTTGTAGAAAAAGAAATACATTGAAATGAGGGTTAATGTCGGTGTATACGCCATACAGTGAGCTTTGAGAGAAAATTTGTCCGGACATTCACGCTACAACCGTTAAACCACTAGACCCCCCCCCTCTCTCTCTCTCTCTCTCTCTCGCTCTCCGTGGCTTATCTTATCTTATATCGAATTCCAATTACCAAGGGATCTTTTACACGGGACCCCCGGATTTTCGTCCCCTCCGAACGATTGTGCGTTTCCCTAACTAGGCCCTCCGTGCTATCGCGACGCCAGAAAATCGCGATGAAATGTCTCGTCCCATCCGAAGGACTACTCGAACAAGGAAGACATAAAACTTCAGTTAATATCGGTTTCCATAGACAATCTGATTAACATACAGATCTATATTTCGTTTCAATTTTGTATACTTTCGATGGCCTACACTACATGAAGATCTGACCAGTTTCACTGGGAGGTCGCGTCAGGCGTCATACGAGCGGCTTTTGACCCTATGACGCCAGACATAGATTAATCAATCAGCGTCGACGTTTCTAAAGGGTTACCCACAGTTCCGTGCAGAGCACAAGAACTCGTCGTAACAGACCGTTTCATTGGCTAATCCCTCACATCAACTAGAACGCATGTTATATAACAACTCTTCCAGATCCTAGTTTTGTGAAGACAAGTAAAACGAAATTTTGAACTATAAGAAAAGAAACGAAATAGGATGTGTGTTTTAATCAGATTGATCTAATAGATTTGTTTGTATATATTTTATAGGTTCTGCTGACTTCCTTGCTGTAGATTATAAAGAAACTACACACATGACAGATAATTCCAGGTATGTTCAATATACTTATTGGATGTATAGCTCTAATCTTTGGAGCATTAAAATATTCAAAAATGTACCTGAAAGCACATAGTACAGTAATCTCCACAATAGAGTTGGCTTCCCTTGCAGTCCACACTAACCTCTGCTAATGGCTCATTTGACTACGCACCAAGATTCTTGGTATCGATAGACAATGATAAACAATATAATGGATATTAAATAATGATAATATGCTTAATTCTATTACTATAATAAAATAGAAATGGGGTCATACTTATCGTAAAATAATAAATATTTACAAATATACAATGGAATCTTTAGCGAAAGTTTACGTTGTTAAAGGGTCGTAAATACAAACTGCGCATGCCATCGTGCTAATTTTAGAATTACATACATGTGGATCTGATTACCTTTCTAACACGCTTGTAAGGAATCATACATTTACACATGAAACATGTAAATTTGTTTTTAAAAATTTGTATTGTAATTTCTAATCAATTAATTATATTCGGTGAAATAAATGAAATGGAGTTTAATGTTCTATATTCGGTGAAATACACGAACAGTCAAAATCGAACGGTGGTCCGTATTCTACATTAGTTGTTTGAATTAAACATGCATTATGCAAGAGCTAAATCTGCCTATTGCAGGTCTTTCTTTAGGCCTGAAATGTTTTCTAAAGTATTAATTAGACATTAATTAACTGATCCAGGCCTTAATCAACTCTCGATGGCATCAGATTTCTCCGATATTAAATAGATTAAAATGGTTCAGCGATACTTTGATTTAATCAAATATAGAGGACCGAGACTTAGCTTCGATCAACCAGTACGGTGGTTGAAATTATTGCACACGTCTGTCAAACCTTCAAAGGCTAATATCATGGCTTGCAATAGAGTAATTTGAATGAAATTTTCAAATTATTCATTTTACATCATCTACTTTCGAACTATTATAGCAAGAATGGCTAGTTCTTTATCTAAATCTTACATAGTGTATCTTTAATATTTTGACGTTTGTAAATCAGACATTTGTAATTACTTCCGCATTGTCTTCTGGGATATGATTTTGTTTTGTTCATTCAAATGGCAAACGAAACTATTGTATCGGCAGAGTACACGACTCGTGTACTGGTTTAACATGTTCATTTTGTCTAATTGGGTTAGAGGTTTATTTCCATTAAGTTTAAATAAAGTAGAATCGGGTGTTTTCGATAGAAAAATCATATCATGTCCTCGAAAGACACCGTTATTTGGTAGACTATAACACCGCGACAATTTCCATTAATTCGTGGTAAAGTGTTGATATGTTCTACTTTTATCTATAACAAGAGAGAGAGAGAGAGAGAGAGAGAGAGAGAGAAAGAGAGGGGGGGGGTGTTAACGTCCACTCGGCACAAACTCGGACATTTCGGAACTAACATATGGTTCAATTTTATTGCAACAATTCGCTTGTGCGTAGGGTCTTTAGCAGTGGAAGGAAATCTGAGGACCCGGGGGAACCCCGCGAGGTTGGACAGGCGACCCCACTCCTTGTCACCACACCAGTTGACTCAATGACAGATCTTATGATACTGCGCGCACTTGCCAACCATTCGGCCATTCAAACCCCCTGATCTATAACAAATACGGAGAAAAGGTTAAATGTAATCTGCACCAACCGGGATAATGAAGACGGGCATACGCCATATAGTGTGCTATGAGGGGAGATTTACCCGAACAATGGCGTTTCCCCCCTACTCCAACTGCTAAGTGTTCTTTTATGTGCAGCTGTCTGGGCATATTGTCCGTCAAATATTCCCGACTTTATTAACCCGGTAAACCACATTACTTGATTTCATTCTAAAATTAAATACTGTTACTTTTCTTTGTGGAATGTCACCATAATACCGTTTTTTTTTTTAATTTATTTCCGACTTTATTAACCCGGTAAACCACATTAATTGATTTCATTCTAAATTTAAAAACTGTTAATTTTTCTGGTGGAATGTCTCTTTAATACCGTTTTTATTTATTCCCGATTGTATTAACCCGGTAAACCACATTACTTGATTTCATTCTAAATTTAAATACTGTTAATTTTTTAGGTGGAATGTCTCTTTAATACCGTTTTTTTTTTAATTTATTCCCGACTTTATTAAACCGGTAAACTACATTACTTGATTTCATTCTAAATTTAATACTGTTAATTTATTTGGTGGAATGTCTCTTTAATACCACTTTTTTTTATTCCCGACTTTAGGAACCCTGTAAACCGCATTACTTGTTTCCATTTTAAAATTAAATATTGTTACTTTTTTTGGTGGAATGTCTCTTTAATACCGTGTTTTATTTATTCCAGTGATTTTTCTCGTTTGAATCCTGTTGGTTTAAGGAAGTTACTAATTGAGATCAGAAAACAGTATAACAACCCCGCTGTTCATATTGGAGAAATAGGTCTAAGTTCATATTCTGCAACTCTCGATGATGATTTCAGATCCGATTTTATACGAACTTACTCTAATGAAGTACTAAAAGGTAAGTTCGTGTTATTGGAAAATAATAGTAATAATAATAATAATAATAATATGTACATCTATATAGCACTAGTACTCTTATTTAGGCTATCGTCTTGCTAATTCCTAACCTTGTCTCTTGAAGGAGAGTTACTTCCCTTTGCCAGCTTCCTTTTCAATTAACGATTTATGTGATTGGTCGATAAAAATAGCACAATCATCACGGGCAGATAACTTGAAAGCGTGCCCCCCCCCCCCCTCATAGTTTAACTCGGGGGTTAGTGGAGTAGAACAGAATGTGACCACTGGCGATACCGAGGAGGAGCTCAATGTTGTTTTGGGAATAAATTCCATTTTGAAAGGAGCTTTGTGCTAAGAGTTTTAAAATATGACTAAAACTGTCATTTGTATTTATGTTACAGCAATAGAATTGGATGGGTGTGATGTTCGAGGCTTGACCTACAAATCATTGATTGACGATTACCACACTAAAGACGGATTATTTAAAGTCAATTTCGACAATATAAACCGCCCTAGAGTACCACGCAAGTCAGCTAAATACTTTGCTAAGCTTGTGAAAGCTAACGGATTCCATAGAGATGGACCATCAGCACCCATGACCTTGACTACCACATTGCGGCCTCGATTAGCAAGAGCAGTGTCGCGATCATCAAGATCTCTCCCTTCTGTATATATTAATGTTTTACTTTTAACATTTTCACTGTCTATAGTTTTGTCCAAATTTTCAGCCATATTTCTTTAATGTGTACATAAGAGATGAATAAATATTTTTTGACGTATGTATGAATGAATTCTATCTTCAATAACACCACACCACTTACATGGCTTGGTGACTTATACGGCACTAACCCTGGTTGCTAGACACAGCAAATGGCCGAATGGTTAGCGTGTGCGCGCTGTATCATAAGATCTGTCATTGAGTCAAATGGCGTAGTTTCGATCGATTTCCCGGTTGTAAGTGGTAAGTAGTAGAGTCGCCTGTCCAACCTCAATAAAATTGAACCATATGTTAGTCCCGAAATGACCTAGTCTGTGTCGTATGGACGTTAAACCCCATCTCTGTCTGCCTGTCTGTCTGTCTGTCTGTCTCTCTCTCTCTCTCTCTATCTCTCTTTGTATTGCATTATATTTACCGTACACTACCCTATCGTCACCAACTGCTAGCTAGGAGATTAAATATTTTCTGTTTAAGGACCATTGAGACAAGGAAAATTTAGATTCTTGCTACAATTTATTTCCTATAAACATTTTGTCGTTAACATTAAGGGGATGGAACTGTCTTTGAGACGCCAGTGGGTCGGTAAAAGGCTGTGACTGGGTGTTCTGGATGTGATCCACATTTTCTCCAAAAGTAGCCAGCTCTATTCCGACACTCCGATTCATCACCGTCTATAAGAGATAATATACCATTTAGTAACTAACCAATGGGAGATAATATACCATCCATTTTATTATATTAACCAATAAGAGATAATATACCATTCAGATGATAATATTAACCAATAGGAAATAATGTCCTATTCAGTTGATAATATGAGCCAATAAGAGATAATGTACCATCCAGTTGATAATATTAACCAATAAGAGATAATGTACCATTCAGTTGATAATATTAACCAATAGGAGATAATATACCTTTTAGTTGATAATATTAACCAATAGGAGATAATATACCATTTAGTTGATAATATTAACCAATAAGAGATAATGTCCTATTCAGTTGATGATATGAGCCAATAAGAGATAATGTACCATTCAGTTGATAATTTTAACCAATAAGAGATAATGTACCATTCGGTTGATTATATTAACCAACGAGATAATGCACAATTCGGCTGATTCTAGTAACCAATAACAGATAATGTCCTTTAAAGTTGATTACAGTAACCAATGAGAGATCATTTCCTATTCACTTGATAATGTCCTATTTAGATGATTATGTTATGTAATGTACAATTCAGTTTATTATATTTGGGACAATGTTGTTGTCCACCAACTTTACACATGTACCAAAACTATAAGTTAAAACACATCGCATACTAAATGAGATTATGAGAGAAAATAATTTAATGCCACGCTAGATTAGCGACAAAAATAGAAAATGTCCGTGCATTATCTACCTTTGATTAACTCTCTACTTTGTTAACCCTCGTGCGTATACAAGGGGTATTTCGGGACCCCACGACCATATCCTTAACGTTTATGAGGAACTGGTTCATAATTGTCTAGCGAGAATTTTATACATTGTCAACTACTTAATGTCGAGTATAATGCTGCAAATAGAACGGAAGTGCCCCCCCCCACCTTTCCTTTCGACATTTTGCTGGTTACAAGTGTCTAACCTGTTCTGCGCTCGGTGCTAGCTTTGTATTTGGAATCTTTCTTACTGATGATATGGTGTTGGTCATTCTAGTAATCTAGATCTGAAAGCAAATCTAGGTAATCTACCCAACTCAACAAAAGACGATTCTACATGGAAATGACAATTAATTCATATCGTCACTGTTAATACCTCAAATAGTTTTTGTCCCTCTGATTGATTAGTATCCAGTCTTTATATGAAGCTGTAGTTTGATCATATTTGAATAAAATTATGCATCCATAAACCAATTTATGTCTGGGGTCTTAGATTACCCCTTGTTGCCGACGTGTTCGCACTTGGGTTAATCTTTTAATACATACCCGGCACAATATTACAATTACCTTGTCAGATAAACCAGATATTTACCTGTTCCAAGATTGGTAGCTCCCCAGCTGTCATAGAAATAATATTTAACTGTTTTATCGGCAGGGCAGTTTTTAACCTTTATCCAACATCCAGCACCACCAGTTCTTAAAGCACCTGCAAATATAACACCATGTTGGAATCTGATATAAGAGTAGGTCGTGGTGCCGCTGTCCGGGAAAAATTTCCATCATAGCACACTGTATACCCGTCTTCATTAGTATGTTTGATGTTAAACCCCATTTCATTTCATTGCGCATCCCCACTTCGCCTCCAATATTATTCAAAAGCAAGTAAAAGATCCTGGATGGAATCTGAAATAAGAGTAGGTCGTGGTGCCGCTGCCCGGGCAAAATTTCCCTCATAGCACACTGTATACCCGTCTTCATTAGGACGTAGGACGTTAAACACCATTTCATTTCATTGCGCATCCCCACCCCGCCCCCCATAGTGTTACATTAGCAAGTAATCTGTCGTGATCGCTGTCCCTTACCTGTTGGTCGGTAAATACTAGTTACTGTGCCTTGTCTGTCTTTACCACAATATACCCATTGATTAGCTGCTCGTCTTAGACATTTCTCTTCATCATTAGCTGCATTATCATTTTGTTCTGCCCAGGTATCTCTTTCAAATCCGATATAGTTATAATGATGATTAGAACAACCATAATAAGCAAAGAAACAACCATCTCCACCCATTGTCATTGCTCCTGATATTGTAAACAAAAACACTTATAATCACTTTAATTATTTTTAAATGAAAACGATCTCCGTCCAACGGCACTGCTCCGGCTATAGTATAGAAAACACTTATCACAAAATAGGGTTATAATCTTTAAATGGCATTTAGTAACTGGATGGAGTAAAAACAAAAACACAAAAGCAAAGAAACAACCATCCCCGCCCATTCATCGTTGCTCATGCTATGGTAAAGAAACCACTTATCACCATATAATGTGATTAAATGGCATTCAGTAACTTGATAGTGGAAAAACAAAAACACATACCTATGGAAAACAGCTACTAATATAAGTAAAAGGCGACGTTTTAAATAGTATTCTCTCAACGTCACCAAGCCACTTATACTAGTAACTGTGTTCAGTAAGTATCCGTTTTTGTTTTTACCATATATGGTAATTTGTTCAATCATCATCTGTTTTTGTTTTTACCATATAGGGTAATTTGATCAATCATCATCTGTTTTTGTTTTTACCATATAGGGTAATTTGATCAATCATCACCTGTTTTTGTTTTTATCATATAAGGTAAACTGATCAATCATCACCTGTTTACTAGGTCATGTGACTGGTATAATACAAAAGGTAGAGTATGTTTAACATTTGTGAAATGCTTGAAAATAATTCAATCATCCCGCTGAAGTCCACATACAACTGTGTGAATTTTTGTATCTATTTGTATTTTTCTGTCTATAGGAGACCACTATAGGCTTACAGTAAAAGCACTCCGACGAGAATGCCCAGGCAAAGTTCACGTCTAGTAGGAATGTATAACCGCATGCAAATCTAAAATTTAAAATTTGTTGACTCCATACATGTTTTATCTACCGCACACCCTTGTGCCTTATCTGCCACACACCCTTGTGCCTTATCTACCTCACAACCTTGTGCTTTATCTACTATACACCATTGTGTATTATTTATCTCACATCGTTGAGCCGTATATACGACATAACATTGTATTTATCTACCTCACACCCTTGTGCTTATCTACTATACACCCGTGTGTCTTGTCTACCACACACCATTGTGTCTTATCTATCTCACACCCTTGTGCTTTATCTACCATACACATTTCCGCTTTATCTACTACACACCCCTGTGCTTTATCTACCAAACCCTTATGGTTTATCTATTAACACACTTGTGTCTTTATATACCACACACCCCTGTGTCTTTATCTACCACACACCCGTGTCTCTTATCTATCGTACACCCATGTGCCCTATCTACCACATGGCCTGTGCTTTATCTCTATTATAGAACCCTGTGTCTTTATCTACAGCACACCATTGTGCTTTATCTACTACACATCCTTGTGTCTTATCGATCACAGACTCTTGTCTACCACACACCCTTGTGTCTTATCTATCTCACACTCTTGTGTTTTACATATCACATACCCTGATGCCAAAATGACGACTTGTATTTCAGACAAGTTACTGCACAACTGGAACGTACCTGTTGGACCATAAACGACCGTAACTGGTTGATTTTTTGCCGAACCACAATATCTCCACACTTCAGCTGCCCGAGCTAAACATTTCGCCTCATTAGTTGCTGCGTGCTCATGCTGTTCACCATACGTATCCCTGTAAGTACCCTTCACATCTTTGTGAGCTGGACACGAGTTTACCAAAAGCCAGCAACCTATGAAATGAAAAGAAACAGCAATAATAATAATAATAATAATAATAATAATAAAAACTTTACTTAATGAGACAACGTATTTAGTTTGCAAAAAATCTAATCTTCCATAGGTCCCTCCTAAGCTACAAAGACATATATACATGTAATATCAGGATAAATTTAAAATCATTAGAAATGCAATAGCATTTTAAAGTGGGAATTTTGGGTTGAACGTCCTACTGTTCTGCTCCGACTGGGCGAATGAAGACGGATATCTGCTATACAGTGTGTTATGAGTTCAATTTTGCCAGACAGCAGCGTTCAGGGCTACTCTTATATCGAATTCCAACTGCCAGGGGTCCTTTTACGTGTACGTGGGACCTCGCATTTTCATCCCACCCAAACGACTATACGTTGTCCCTTGACAGGTCCTCTGCCCTGCACCACTGACAAGGCGGATCCACGTCGGAAAATTCCTATGTACCTTCTCGGTCAACACCGGTATTGAAAACGGGATCTCCGGGTTAGCGAGCCAGCGTCTTACTCACTGAGCCACTACGGTCAATCCTATTAAAAGATTTAGAAAAATTATATTTGAACACGGGACTTCCAGTTTAGCGAGCCAAAGTCTTAATCACTGGGCAACTACGGTTAATCAAATCCTACTGAAAGACATAAAAGACATTTGAACAAAGGACCTCCGGGTTAGCGAATCAACGTGTTACTCACTGGCCACTACGGCCAATCCTATTGAAAGACAGAAAAATTATATTTGAACACGGGACCTCCAGGTTAGCGAATCAACGTGTTACTCACTGGCCACTAGGGTTAATCCTATTGAAAGACACAAAAAAATTTTATTTGAACACGGGACCTCCGGGTTAACGAGTCAAAGTCTTACTCACTGAGCAACCACGGTTAATCCTACTGACAGACATCATAAAAAAGAATAATTGAAAATATGATGAGGAAGAAAAAGAGAAGTATGGCGATGGTGGCTATCTAATTCATATGGATGCTCAATTGTCAATCCGTTAGGTCTCGAATTGAAAGAACTGCAATCGTGTGGAATTCAGTCTCTTCATAGTTCTGTCAGTCCCGGCAACTGAGATAGTGTGAGTAGAACCGTACTGATATGAAACACAACCAATATATTTCAGCAGTCGTGGTTGGGTTAGATAAGTTCTTATGCAGTCGGCCCATGTATTGTAGCTGGAAATCCTATTTTCACTCGATTGGATATCCTCTAATTGTGTGGAGCCGAGATTCTAGCGCCCACTCGTGTTGGATTGAAACCACAGCACTTGACTCAATGGCCGACCTTATGATCTAAAGACTGCCGGCCCATTCTGTCACTCAAACCCCACAACTGAAATATAAGGTTATCAATAATGACAACTTACCAACATGTGTAATATTATTAACAAGATTATTAGGACGTGAACCATCTGGTAAATAGGAGGCTTTAGGGATGTTTGTTTCGGGAGCAACTGTTCCAGATACACAGGGACCTGATGTGGACACGGCTTTAATTCCCGAGTCTGGTCTTTTACCTATAATATGAAATGAATCTACAAAATCTTTGTTTATGTTGACGCTATGCGGCTTTAAATTTCGAAGACGAATCAATCGCCCTCTTGATGGTGTATACCCCCAACCACCGGATGATGTTAATCACTCTCCTGATGATGTTAACCACCCTCCTGATGATGTTAACCACCCTTCTGACGATATAAACCACCCTCCTGATGATATAGACCATCTTCCTGATGATGTAAACCACCCTCCTGATGATGTAAATCACCCTCCTGTTGATGTAAACCACCCTCCTGATGATGTTAACCACCCTCCTGGTGATGTAAACCACCCTCCTGATGATATAAACCATCTTCCTGATGATATAAACCATCCTCCTGATGAGGTAAACCACCAACTGATGATATAAACCACATTCCTGGTGTTAACCACCCTGATGATGTTAACCGCTCTACGGGTTCCTGGTGATGTAAACCGTCCTCCTGATGATATAAACCACCCTCCTGATGATGCAAGCCGCACTCCTTGCGATGTTAACCACCCTCCTGATGGTATAAAACACCTTCCCGATGATGTAAACCGCCCTGAATATGTACCCCCCCCCCCCCCGCGATTACACAAACCGCCTTCCTGGTTATGTAAACCATGGGAAACCATGACAGATATATAAAAATTAACGTCTCAAAATTTATTGATTGTTTGATTTGATATCACCTAATAAGAGTATGGTTAAATGCATCAATATGCTCCCGCCCCAAATTGTTTTTCAATGCTAATTATTCTAACAAGTACATAAACTAAAATTTGATAAGGACCGTCGATGTTCAATTAATCTGGAGTTTTCTGTTGGACCAACACCCGCACGCCCCCCCCCCCCCGGCACCCCCCGCCTCTAATTTTAGGGCGTGGAGCAACCACATGGTTCACACACCGGCATTGTTTCATGCTAACAGAATTCCTTAACATGAGCACTGAAATATATTTTGTTATATATCCTAAAAGGCCTACCTTTATTTAAATATCTGGGACCATATGGATATCTGGGACCAACTTTATCTAAAGTTACTGGTTGTGGAAAATTGACCCCATTAGCCCAATCTTTAGCTGTGCATTGTAGATGGTAGTCACAAGTATCCGGAGAAGAAAAATCAGAGGATGAAAAAGACTGAAAAGAAAACAATAAATAACCCTTTAATAACAAGTACGAGCATACCAAAGACCAGAAGTCGGGCATGACGTCATCGTCGCCATCTTGGAATTGTGAAGTTTTATGCCGGTCGTACTTGAATTGGTGGAACCTTACGCTTTTTTCGAAGCCGAAGCGCATCATGAAATAGAACAACACGAATAACAAGATGAGAAGCGCATGGGATCCGGTTCCTGTTCCAGATAATTGTACTGTCAAGGCAGAAGGTCGATTAAAATAACCCTTGCTCTCTTTTAATTGGTTTTATTGCCATGCGCCATGTTTTATTAATGTTCAAGTTGGCTCATGTTACCCAAATAAATGTACATTTTGGTGTAAATCTCAACTTAAGCCAAATCATTTTGAGGTAAATCACAACCTAACCCAAATCATTTTGCTGTAAATCACAAAATCACAACCTAACCCAAATTATTTTGCTGTAAATCACAACCTAACCCAATACATTTTGAGGTAAATCACAACTTTACCCAATACATTTTGGTGTAAATCACAACTTAGCCCAATACATTTTGGGGTAAATTAACTTAACTCAATACATTTTGAGGTAAATCACAACTTGACCCAAAACATTTTGGGGTAAATTAACTTAACTCAATACATTTTGAGGTAAATCACAACTTGACCCAATACATTTTGGGGTAAATCTCAGCTTAACCCAATACATTTTGGGGTAAATCTCAAGACGAAGGCCAGTGATTCTAGTTCCTCTACTTATACTTACATGTTGATTTTCGTATTGACGGAAATATTTATCTTCATCAATTTTCCCATCAAAATAGATCCAAGAAATACCCTTCTCATTATAATATATATTACGATATACCTCATTGCCTGAAATCACAAAATGATGTATACAAGTGTAAACAGAATGTGTAAAAATCAAAATATGTTTCATCACAAAAGCCCCCCAAAACTGGAAATTACCATGTAAATAAACTGGAAATTACCATGTAAATAAACTGGAAATTACCAGGTAAATAAACTGGAAATTACCATGTAAATAAACTGGAAATTATCATGTCCTTATATTTAACGCCTCTTGGGGTTGGAAACATGTCTTTCAATTTTAGGCGAAATAATTTAGAAGGCTTAAACATCAATACATAATGGTTTATACCTACCTTCCGGATAACCGCGAGTTTTACTTGTAGCTAAAGCAGCTAATTTGGGGTATTTGGCGGCCCATAGATGACTGGTATATGGCACTGCCTGGAAACAAGTAATATGATTAATATTTAAATGTGATAGTCGAAACCTGATTTTAAATAATAATCAGAATGATTTCCTTTAATGTCTGACTTAAATATTATGGGTTCTGTAAACGAACTTAGAATGTAATGATCAATACAAGAAATGTAGTTGAACGTCTTATAATATCATAAATTTACACTGCAGTGGTTAATTTTGCACCGATGGCATCATTTCCGTCAGCACTTCTTCGAATTCCAACTGCGAAGGGGTCGTTCAAGAACTGAATAAGTTTTGTTTAATTTTTCGCCTCATCCGAATGACTAACATTATCATTCGTGAAAGGTGGAAATATGATGCTACTTATTGGCTCATGTCTGGGGTCGAACCTAAAATTTAAAATTCAAGACAACAGAAGCTAAAATCATACCTGTAAATGACCTATAAGTTCGTCAAGAAAATCCCCTCTCATTCCCCGGCCATCAACTTGAATAGATTCTTTTGTAGCGTTATAAAACACGTTGTATCTGATGATATTGTCTCGACCACCCCCTATATTAACATGAACTTCATTCTACAAATAAATAATACGTAGATATAACACACCATGTAACATAGAAATAAATAAATAAATAAATAAATAAATAAATAAATATACAAATATATAAATATATAAATAAATAAATAAATATATAATATGAGGCTTTTAAACCCGACACAATGACGTCACGTAATAAAAAATATCCATTATAAAGAAAAGGATTCATATTATGTCCTATGTTAGCAGAGTACTCGCATAATGAAACACAATATGTTCCACGAAGGCTACCAACTTAAAGATATAAGATTACTCACGTAATAAAACACATTATGTTCTATGTTAATAAGATTTCTCATAAAATAAAATAAATAAAATATGTGCCAATACGATTACCAACGTAAGACATGATCTTAAGAAGATTACTCAAGTAATAAAACACTTTATGTTCTATGTTAAGCAGATTACTCACGTAATAAACCACATTATATGCCAAGACGAGTACCAACGTGACATAATAAACACATTGTGTTGCATGTCACGAAGATTACTCACGTAAAAAAAAACACATTATGTTACGAAGATTACTCACGTAATACAGCACGTTGTGTTCTATGTTTCGAAGATTACTCATATGATAAAACATTATGTTCTATGTTAAGTTGATTACCCACGTTATAAAACACATGTTCTGTGTTAGGTAGATTACTCACGTCATAAACCTCATTATTTTCCATGTTAAGAAGATTACTCATATAATAAAACACATAAGGTGTCACGAGGATTACCAGCTTAACATAATAAAACATTTTATGTTCTACGTTAGGTAAATTACTCACATAATAAAACACGGTATGTTCTATGTTACGTAGATTACTCACGTAATAAAAAACATTATGTTCCATGTTAAGAGGATTACTCATGTAATAAAACACATTATGTTCTACGTTACGACGATATTCACGTAACAAAACACTTTCCATGTTAAGAGGATTACTTATGTAATAAAACACGTTATGTTTCACGAAGATTACTCGCGTAATAAAACACATCATGTTCTATATTACTCACGTAACAAAACACTTTATGTTCCATGTTAAGGGGATTACTCATGTAATAAAACACTTTATGTTCTTTTACGATTAACAGCAACCTAATAAAACATTTTTTGTTCTACGTTACGACGATTACTCACGTAACAAAACACTTTATGTTCCATGTTAAGAGGATTACTTATGTAATAAAACACATTATTTTTCACAAAGATTACTCACATAATAAAACACATTATGTTCTATGGTAACACTGGAATATTCGTCATCTAACATTATACCACGTACATCAGCACCAGGCCAATGTCTTATAGAATCATGTACATGATTGTAACGGATAACATTCCCTCGCTAAATATAAAACAAAGTATGAAAATGTATCAGAGTTGTTATATTAAATTATGTAAGATTTGTGGAATGTTAGACTAGAATTAATGATTCATTAAATAATTTTTCTTCTAATTAAATTATTTTCTACTGATTAAATCATTATTTGCATTACAGTTACTAATTACCCTTTACTGATTGGCCCCAAATTGGGTAGTCTAATTAAGTGGAGGCAGCAGGGGTGGTGTATACTTTTCATTCGAAGCTACCCATATTAAACTTGTATAGCCCCCCCCCCCTCTTTAAATATCGATGCTAAGACCCAGGGCATATTCCGAAATGGTCATTTGTGGCGGATTTTCCTAATGTTCTTAGGAAGGTCTACCGCGATCATTCGACTGAGCAATCCCATCGCCGCCCACTGTAATCGTATTTGTATTTGTTTAAAATTACCATAGTCCAGTCTCTACCAGCATGTATAGCACCACAATCACTGGAATCATGACAGCATCTACTAAAATGGTTATATTCCATGATATGATCATTACCCTGAAAAATATCGCGGACATCAGAATATTTATTTTAAGGATACAGACCACCAATCGTTTGTCAATTCATGGTACCAAAGATAACAGTTCCTTCTATTTATAAACTTGTGTATTTACAAATTCGGATATTCGACATCATACTGGTCTTGGAGTAACATATTTCCGTGTGTTTTGACAAGCGTCGTTTATCCCAAAAACAATCTATTACACATACATTATGCAAGAGCTAAATCCACCAATTGCAGATCTTTCTTTAGGCATAATCCATAGTTCAAATGCTACGACCAAAGCAATTTAATTGTTAGTTCTTTGGGAACTTGATTAATGAATGGCCGGGCAGGATAGGCTTACTCTTCCGGACACCTGTTACCACTGTTTGTCGTGTATTTTGTACACGGTAAACAGTCCATTTGCTGATTACACTATTTTGCCTATACCATTTGTTTAGGACTTCGAATTTTGTCTAATGGTTTGGATTGTTCGTACTTGGTTTAGACAGCATTAGATAGCCTAAATGGTATTGTTTAGACCCGTTGACTAATTGGTTTTTGATTAAATCCTGGTTTTACTTACAGACCATCGAATGCAGGTGTAAGGACCATCGTGTAAATAATTATATCTCATCAAAGTATTTACTCCCCCTGGTGAAATACCATTGGCACCAACTTTCGTAGCGCGACCGAATTTCCATATATGGTTGTCCTCTAAAATATTCCCCGAAGATTCCAATTTATTTCTGTTTCCTCCTAAAATGATTTTACAGTACAATATACCTACCAAATTTACATATGTAAAGTCGCTGTTCGTAATTTCAGAGTTTTCGCGGACGATATAAACCAGCCAGTGGCATCTAAATTATTGATGCGTATCGTGTTCTACTGGTAGACAATATATCTCCGACAAATATTCAGAGTTGTTTATGCACGTTTTGGTCGTGGGGATGATTTCGCTTGAACCTCTGGTGGATGCAAATATTTTTAGTTTGGCATTGTTGGATTTGGAGGGACGCTTAAATAAACATCACCATAACCATTGTAACGATGGGGATTATGCTAGCGTAATAATTAAAATCAAATACAATATGAATTGATGTCCAGCTTTTTGGCGCCAACTTGGTAAATGAAGGCGGGCATGCGCCATGCAGTGTTATATGAGGGAAGATTATTGAGTAGATAATGTTAGAAAAAAATATGGGGCATAACAATTTACACTTCTCTTTCTAACAATCTAATTAAAATATAGATCTATATTTCGTTTCGTTTTTTTTACTTTTACTACACTACATGTAGATCTAACAAGTTATAGTGGGAGTTCACGTCCTATGACGTTAGGTACCAAGCAAGCGACATTTGACCCGATTACGTCAGTCATTCGATTAACCAATTAGCGACCGCCATGTATTTTTTATCTACTCTTGCTTTGTTTTGATTTCTATTGCCGCTAATGTCTACCCACAGTTCTGAGCAAAAAAGGTCAAACGCTCGATTCGACAGACCATTTGATTGGCTGACCCCTCATTTCAAGCAGAACACGAGTTAAATAACAAAGCTTCCAGATCCAAGTGTAGTAAAGACAATTAGTAAAGTCGAAATTTTGAACTATAAAAACGAAACGAAATTGGATCTGTGTTTAATCAGATTGTCTTTCTAACTGAACAATTACTGTGCCCAAATAACTGAAGCTATTATGACTTCTATAGTAATATCCAGATCCACCGTGAATGAATCTCAGTTCCAAATTATATTAAATAAAAACAAAGTACATAAATTAAAGCCCTTTAGTACCTGGATCGATCAAAGCAACAGCACCCCCCCCCCCAACTCCCCTAGCACCCCAAATCGCATGTAAACGTGAACTATTTAAGCACCGTTGGGAACAGTAGTCTCAGTCGGTTGCAAAAATAAGATATACATCCCAGTTTTAGAAGAGATTAGTTTTCATCAAGAACCAGGTACTAAAAGGTTCACTACGTTTAAAGTATATTATGTTAAAGGGACAATAACACTCTTGCTGGCTTGACAGCTCCAGAAAATAAATAATAGCCTTATTCTAAGTATTAGATGTTTATGTGTCCTACCTGGTGTGTAAATTATCCATTACATCCTTTTTTACTTGTCCAGAGGGTTCGAAAATATTTTTAAATCCAAGTCACATTTGAAAAGGTTTACGTTAGGCTTTTCAAATCATTTAGTTGATTTTTTCCATTTTTTTAATTAGGTGTGTTAAGATGAAATTTGTATCATCAATTAATTGAAATATTGTAAAATAGTACAATTTGTTGACCAGAATAAAGATTGGGACATATTATTCAGTTACAACAAGAGTGGTATTGAGCCTTTAAAGTCATCGAGCTTGAGTTGATTTTACGCACATGTTAAATTTCTCGCGTCTTAATCCTCGCTTATATGTACTATTTATTTAATATTTGATTAAAACAACAAAATAAAAATATGAAACGCCGGATGTCCTCCTGGATTAAAAACAGGTTCATCCATCATTTAAACATAAGATGGCCACGGACTTGTTTATATAGAGATTTAACATAGATCTATGGAATTCCAGTTCATCATACCTTTTAAAATACTGAACGGAATACCTAATAGAGATTCAAAATGTACGATATTGTAGTTTGCAGGGGGTTCATATAGCGCTCAAATCACGCACATAGACTTTAAAGAATTAGTCACCGGAAATTCCTCAAATTTTGTTTTAAATAACGCAAGGAATTATGTCAACGGCGGAAATTACTAACGTTGAAATTTACCTGTTGTGGGTATTATTGACATTTAGGTTCGTGTTATACTCATGGAAAGAATATGTTTACATAATTACTTTACTTGCATTATTTAAACAATGTATGAAGCTTTCACGGTGACCTTTAAAGAATATTGAGATACCTTGTATATTGACACCGCCATCAGTATGATGTATATCACACCTTGATACACTAATAGATCTACAATCACCGCTACAACTGATACCATAGGAACCTATAGACACAGACCAGAATTAATATCAATATTTATTTATTATATTTATTATATGGACACAGACCAGTATCAACTTCCTTCAATGCAGTTCCTTTTGCATGTCGATTGTGGTTAACTGTTTCATACATATTTAGTAGTTTGCTATGTTCTGCTTTCAGTTTTTGTTTCTTACGATTTTAATGCTTTAAAACTAGGTCATTTCGGGACTAACATATGGTTCAATTTTATTTAAATAATTTGCTTGCGCATAGGGGTCTTTAGCAGTGGAAAGAAACCGGAGGACCCGCAGAAAACCCACGAGGTTGGTCTAAGGTGGAAGTTTTGATCCGTCAAATAATATTGCGGGAAGAATATATGGTGATATGTGCCGTGACCGTGACGTATAAGGTCAAATCTAAAAGCAGCAAAAATGAAACCCAATATGAAATCGTCTAATTGGAACTTGGAAATACATGTATTCAATTCCATTAAGATTTGTTATCAAGGCGCTATGATGTTTTAGGGAGAGGGTTGATACTTCTTAGAGAGATGGTTTCAATTATTATTACCTGTATTTTTTATTTCCATATTTGTAAATTTTATATTACGTGCACTGTTTCCCTCAAAGCCATAATGTCGACACGCCTCCAGCGTGAAGTCTTCAAAATGAATATTATGTGCGTTGTGTAAACTGAAAAGAAAAGAGATAGCAGAGAAATGGGGTTTAACGTCCACTTGACACAAATTAGGTAATTTCGGGACTAAAATATGGTCTAAATTTATTTCAATAATTCGCTTGCATGTAGGGGTCTTTAGCAGTGGGAGGAAATTGGAGGATCCGGAGAAAATCGACGAGGCGACCATACTCCTTGTCACGTACAACCGCGGAATCAAAACCACGCCAGTTGACTCAATGACAGACCTTACGATACAACGCGCACATGCTAACCATTCGGCCATCCAAACCACATACTTAAATATGTGACTCGTGTTATGTAATGTTAACAGAAAGTAATTTGTATACGATTGGTAATTGTGTATGTCACGTGGGGAACTGCTGTCAGACCGGGGTGGCGCCCTTAATGCGCTGCTACGGCGTCAAGATCGCCATAGCGTGGTAAAAGCGTGGTGGAAACGCCAGATATCGCGTTGTGGTCTCCATAGTCGCAAATGATCGCCGAGTCACGGCGTTTATTTAGAGCATGAAAATATTTTTTTAATTTAATCTACTTGGCAAAATAACGTGCCCGAAATCTAACAAAATATTAATTTTACGAACTGGAATAGCAGTAAAACGCGTTGTGACAGTATTGGTTCTTTATATCAAGTTCTGGATGACAAGACTAGTTTAACATCTTAAAATACTTTTATTCTCGGCTTCTTCTAACATATTATATACAAAACTTAAAGGCTCCATAACTAGCTTACATTAGTTGGCCGTTGTCCGGTCTTAACTCCAAACCAGCGTGGCCTGGAGTTAACTACCAGACGTCGCCTAGCCTCCGACTGCTCTCATGTCCTGCCTGGACCTCTCTGCCCTTTTCGTTTGTTAATCTGGGTTTATAAACCATTCCAGACAAAGGAATCTTATTAGACATCTGGCTTATGTATCATATATAGTTTAACATTCGATACATGCTAATCAGACAAAGAAAGTTTAAATAAAACATGCCAGCAAGTTAACGTTTACATAATCATTACATAATCACATAGACCAAGGACTCCAGGCATGTCGATAACGAACAGGTGTCAAGTTGGCAGGAAGCGTCTTTAACATCAGATGATCTGATTATGTAACATACCTTCCCTTTTCTTTGAATAAAGTTATGAATTATATGAAATAACTTTTAAAGACTATTACAAAATTAAATATAAATGGAGTCGATGGTAACTACCCTAATTAATATATAAACAAAAATACGAAAAATAACTATAAGCTGATTAAAAGTTATATAAACAAAAAGAAAAAATGCAAATGGCAAAAGAATAAAACACTGGTTGAAAAGTAATAAGATACTGGTTGAAAAGTTCATACATATATACTACAGTGTTCATACACGCGCGACATTGAAATCACATAATATGTCGCAGATAATTTTACTGATCACACACACGAGTTCCTGGAATCGCATATATAATGAAAAATATTTGAATTTCCACACACGTGAGTTATTTGAATCACTAATAATTATAACAAAAAAAAATACTGTAAAACTATAATATTCTAATGTTCGCACACAATCACTAATAATTATAAAAAAACAAAAAAAACACTGTAACTATTCTAATGTTCGCACAAGTCAACTGTAGGGAGATACAAATTAATTTTTTTTTCCTTCCTTCATTCCGTCGTCTTCTTGTATAAGTTTCCCGTAATGGCAAGGAGTCGGTGTCTTCCGGTAGTCTTATCTTTTCCATACCGCCTGGCCGGGACGGTGCGACATGTGCTATGAAGAGTATTATAACTGCCACCCATGTGAAGTTTTTTCATCTGTTTATCATATCATGGAGTGAACTTAATTAATAGTTAATCAAATTAGCAAGTGGAACAGACTTTAATTAGCTATCTAACGATATTTACATTATTATTTACATGGATAGAATTGAAATTAGGATGTCATATTGTTTTGTTTTTTTCTGAACACATTTTACAATCTTTAATAAGATATTTTGAAAGAACGTATCAAAATTAATAACGGTTTATTTCTATAATTTTTGAAACACAACACAAAACAAGACAATACGGTCGCTCGTAATTCTGAGCACGACCCTCTCCTGGGGTTAAACCAATCCCACCTGACTGGGGTTTCACATAAAAATTTTCCCGTAACATATCGGGACCTCCCAATTTCATAGTATTGAGGTATCACAAAATAAAAAAAATAATAAAAATCTCTCCCGTACATATCGGGTCATCCCATTATTAATATTAGGGGTATCACAAAAAAAACCTCCCTCCCGTAAATATCGGGGCATCCCATATTAACATTAGGGGTATCACAAAAAAAATTCTCTCCCGTAAATATCGGGGCATCCCATTAACATTTGGGGTAATAGACACATATAGACAAAACAACAACAAAAAAAACCTTAGAGATAAACGCGTTAATAATTTGTGAATGTTATTGGGTTAAATTCCAAATTACGATACTGTTAACCCAATTCTAGTTAAACAATCACAAAACATTTTACTTTTCGATATTAACCTGTTACTACTACTTTAAATGCCAAAATATGTGTTCAAAAACAAACAATTATCATTTATAATCTTTTAAAAACAACATGACCTATTGTAAAACAAACAATATATATACGATTTTGTTTTGGTCATTTTCCTACAAATAGTTAAGGACTGTTCCACTACTAGCTTGAAAATTATATTAAATTAAGTAACTACACCATGATATTTAATAAAGCGTGATGATAAACTGCTGATTTCCCAGTTAAATTATAATACATTATAGCACAATGTCATTATTAACCGGCCATGGTAGGATTAGAAAAAGACTTACCTTAGAAATAATTCTTTGATCGCCTAGTGGTTATGACTTCAAAACGTTGGTCTGGTCTACGGCATCAATTTATATGTGACAGTATTGGTTCTTTATATCAAGTTCTGGATGACAAGACTAGTTTAACATTTTAAAATACTTTTATTCTCGGCTTCTTCTAACATATTATATACAAAACTTAAAGGATCCATAACTAGCTTACATTAGTTGGCCGTTGTCCGGTCTTAACTCCAAACCAGCGTGGCCTGGAGTTAACTACCAGACGTCGCCTAGCCTCCGACTGCTCTCATGTCCTGCCTGGACCTCTCTGCCCTTTTCGTTTGTTAATCTGGGTTTATAAACCATTCCAGACAAAGGAATCTTATTAGACATCTGGCTTATGTATCATATATAGTTTAACATTCGATACATGCTAATCAGACAAAGAAAGTTTAAATAAAACATGCCAGCAAGTTAACGTTTACATAATCATTACATAATCACATAGACCAAGGACTCCAGGCATGTCGATAACGAACAGGTGTCAAGTTGGCAGGAAGCGTCTTTAACATCAGATGATCTGATTATGTAACAGCGTTTGCGGCCGTCAAATATTCCACAATTTTCTTCGCGAGGGGGGGGGGGGGGTCCATACAAGGTCAGCTCCGCTTCTTCATCTCTCGAAGAAAACCGGCGCCGCTATCTGTAAACTTGAAATTTTTTCGGGCATTTCTAGTTTTGCTTCCCTAACTGTCATCGAGTCCTAATAAAACATTAATTTTACTTTTTTTTTAATTGAATACTACGAATTTGCACTGAGTTGACTATAGATTAAAACATTTTGTCTGGAGCCACTCTGCTTTGTGCGACATTTTTCAGGCATCGATTATTATTTGTGAATGCAGCTGCAACAGTCTGATTGGAAGATTGGAATTCGGAATGGGATTTCGGTTACAAAACCAATGGATACTTTGGGAGTTGCTTACACGGGCTAGAATAGCAGAAAATGATTTGCATTTTTAAAATTTTCCCCGGGAGGGTGAAGCCTCCATACCCCGCGACGATTGATTGGTTGTTTGGAATTCGAGTCAGCAAGGTAGCCTATATTGGACCAAATTGAAGTTGCTGTATTCAAAGGCTGGAATAGCAGGAAAACGTGTTTGCAGCCGTCAAATATTCCAAAATTTTCTTGGGGGGGGGGGGGGGGGTACAAGGTAAACTCCGCTTCTTCGCCTCTCGAGGAAGACCTGCGCCGCTGTCTGTAAACCCGAAATTTTTTCGGTCATTTTGGGTGCTGCCCTCCCCCTCCCAAGGTAAGCTCCACTTCTTCGCCTCTCGAGGAAGACCTGCGCCGATGTCTGTAAACCCGAAATTTTTTCGGGCATTTCGGGTACTGCCCCCCCCCCCCCCAACTGTCATCGAACCCGTACGCCTATGTCCTCAACCAAATCTACCGGTGGAGGGGGATTTTTGAAAATGAGACATTTATTTGTGCATTCTGGCATGTTGCCCGATCAAAAGACACCTTTGTGCATATGTAGTAAGGTGAATTTTGACCCAATAATAAATGTATCAAAATACCTCTTGCTAATCCACACAGTATTACTTAATTCAGTAAACTATGGATCGTAATCCACCCTAATTACCCCCCATTTATATCTATTTTATATCTATGCAATTAACGTCTACGGGCTATAGAGTTTATTTTACTATAGTATATTGTTTGTATAGACGATACATTTATAGGATTAATGCCCTAGATAATTCATGGGGATATATAGACCCATATCAGCGAGTTAGGGGTAGGACCTTTCTACAAACCGGGGGTTTGGATGGCTGAATGGTTAGCACGTGCGTGCTGTATCATAAAGTCTGTCATTGAGTCTACTGGCGTGGTTTCGAATCCCAGGTTGTACGTGGCAAGGAATAGGGTCGCCTGTCGAACCTCGTGGGTTTTCTCCGGATCCTCCGGCTTCCTCCCACTGCTAAAGACCCCTACGCACAAGCGAATTATTGAAATAAAATTGAACCATGTGTTAGTCCCGAAATGACCTAGTTTGTGTTAAACCCCATTTCTCTCTCCCTCTCTCTTTCTACAAACCTGTCATAAGGAGATCAATTTGATTTACAAGTATTTGGATATTTGGAGACACAAGTTTATGTCTAACTAGCGATCGTAGATAGAGAAAGAGAGATGGGGTTTAACGTCCACTCGACACAAACTAGGTCATTTCGGAACTAACATATGGTTTTATTTGGTTTCAACAATTCGCTTGCTTGTAGAGGTCTTTAGCAGAGAGAGGAAACCGGAGGACCTGGAGAAAAAATCCACGAAGTTGGACAGGCGACCCTACTCCTTGTCACGTACAACTGGGGATTCGAAACAACGCCACTTGCCTCAATGACAGGTCTTATGATACAGCGCGCACCTGCTAACCATTCGGCCATCCGACCCCCCTACTTGTGAATGAAATATCCCGTATACTCACCTTATGCACGTATTTAACATAGAAACATAAACTATATCTGTTTGTTGTAAGGTTCCACTTGGTGTATTTGGCCATAAATAAAGAATACCAGTAGATCTATCCAAATAATATTCACCCTGGTGGATAACAATACAATATCAGCTGATATAAACTAACAAAAGAAATGCACAAATTTGAGGGAAGGAAATTACAATTTAATTACGAATTGAAATGGGTTTTGGTCTAACGTAATATATTTCTTCATTACTATATTGATTTACCATGGTATCTAATGTGAGACCATTATTTATTACCATAATGACTTACCGGGGTATCTAATGTGCGACCATTATTTATTACCATAATGACTTACCATGGTATCTAATGTGAGACCACTACTTATTACTATAATGACTTACCGTGGTATCTAATGCGAGACCATTATTTATTACCATGACTTACCGGGGTATCTAATGTGAGACCATTATTTATTATCGTATTGATTTACCGGGGTATCTAATGTTAGACCATTACTTATTACCATAATGACTTACCGGGGCATCTAATTCTGACAACATATTTATGACACGAAAATAACCTCCTTGATGAGAGAAACCGTTTAGCACACCATCATAGCGGAGACTTCCTGTTATATAGAACGCAAATGCATCATTATTCACATATCCATTATTTATATAAAAAAATATATAAAATGAAAATAAAATGGGATTTAACGTCCGACTGTTCTGCTCCGACTTGACTAATGAAAACGGGGATGCGCATAACAGTGTGCTATGAGGGGGAGACTTTCCCGGGCAGCGGTACTAAGGCCTACTCTTATTTCAAATTCGTCTCAGGCCCTCCGTCCTGCACCACTGAAAATGGGGGAACCACGCAGGAAAATCGTGATGAGAGAAAGAGAGAGAGAAATGGGGTTTAACGTCCACTCGACACAAACTAGGTCATTTCGGGACTAACATATGGTTTTAATTTTATTTACATAATTCGCTTGCGCGTAGGGGTCTTTAGCAGTGGGGGGAAACCGGAGGACCCGGAGAAAACCCACGAGGTTGGACAGGCGACCCTACTCCTTGCCACGTATACCGGGGATTCGAAACCACGCCAGTCGAAATCCTGATGAACTTTCTCGACCAAACCAATTAATTTCAATAATTTGCTTGCGCGTAGGGGTCTTTAGCATTGGGGGAAAACCGGAGGACCCGGCAACCTTACTCCTTGTCAAATACAACCGAGGAATCGAAACCACGCCATTGACTCGATGATAGATCTTATGATATCATTCGGCCTCCCCCCCACCACCCATATTCCATTCAGGATAAGATAAATAGTCACCTGTACGGATACCAAATTTAGGATTGTTAGCCAGTGTTATTTGGTGAGGTTTGGTGTTTATTGACTTGACTTGAACAGCCCAATCAGCCCAACCCCATTGCCTGAAATACAGAGAGGGAGAGAGAGAGAAATGACACAAACTAGGTCATTTCGGGACTAACACAATTGTGGTTCATTTCTATTCAAAACAATTCCGCTATAAAATGTGCCAAGGTATAAATTATTCACTCGTAATCTAAGATTTATACATTTTGAAATTAAATAGGGTTCTTCCTCATATCCCTTTGAGAACTCTGTCCAATCACTCATTTATAAGATTTTAGGATTTTGAAGATAAACAGGGGGGTAACTCTGCGATTTGTGGTCGAAACATTTATATTTGGATAGTGTTCTTCCATATGAACACCTAAACGTAAATGATACCTGCCAACTTGGATAAAAAAAACAACGTAAAGATTTCTGAAACGGACGACAAACGAGGGTGATGACTATCACCAAATTCATCATTTTTGTAAATACCCACCAGAAACCATAAGCCCAAGGATCTTTTTCCCCTGTCCATCGTGCATCACGCGATGAATTGTGGGTAAACCTCGCACCACTAGCACCATCAGGTATAGTTTTAATATTGATGTAGTTCTGAAAGAAAAACAATGGTTAGTGCTAAATGATAAAGTCAACTCCATTTTTCGTCATAGATCACGGGATGTAAACAGAGCTAGCTCTAATCCCAACCCTAACCGTGACCGTGGACCTAACCCCAATGCTTACCCTAGCCCTTACCTGCAATCTCGCCAACAATCACGTTTCCTAAGCTTATTTACATCTCAACGACCTTGACAAAATTAGATTTAGCTATAGAAAAAAACCCACCTGTAATTAGGCATATCGGACGGCCAGGACATTGACCAGGTTCCGAATTACGGTGAGGACCGGGACTAGTTCCATTAGGAACTGTCTTTGAGCGGACGATGTCCACTGACAGTTCCTAACCGGCCTTATATAGCTGCAATATAAAAATAACGCTTTTCCCCACCTCTGTTCTAAGGCTATTTTGTAATCCTTACCTACTATTTTTCACCTTGATTCTACTTTATTCACCAAAGGGATCATTTCTTGCCACAGCTAACGCACATTTATAATGATTCAACACTATTTTCAAGTAGAATTCTGCGATTAAAAACATACACAAAATACGTTTGAACTGACAGCCATTGCGAGACTCGAACATGCGCAAACCACATGTTTATTTCATCGCTAAATTCTACTTGAAAATGGTGTTGAATTATTATGACTTTGTGTCAAATATATTCTTTTGGCGGAAAATAAAGAATCGTGGTGAGACATAGAGGGTAAGGGTTCCTAAACAGTCTGAGAACAGAGGTGGGGAAGAGCGGTATTTTGACGTATTTTCATATTGCAGCTATATAAGGCCGGATAGGAACTGTCAGTGGACATCGTCCGCTCAAAGACAGTTCCAAAAGGAACTAGACCGGGACAAACCCGAGGGATCGTGTAAACCTGGCCTTTACTTACTTATTGTCGGTGTACCTGGTCATCCTGACGAAAAAGTCTACTTGTGTACAAATCGGCGTGCACGAAACGAGCTCTACGCGCAATGACCTAGTTTGTGTCGAGTGGACACAAATTTCGAATTTCAACGTTACCATAGAAATACAAAATTCCCATACGTTCTTTTCCAGTTACCGAAGTATATTGTGTGACGAGGTGTTACATTGCAATCCAGCACCCATTCTACTCTCAGATATCTAGGAAATAACCCGTTCGTACTTACATCATTAGGCCACTCTGCTAAATGAAGAGGATTTCCATTGATGAAGATTTCCAGTGGTGCTGTTCTGTGGGAATAAAATCCATAAGTTGATAGTTTGCCATAATCAGTAATACCAGCTTTAGAGAGATGAACTTGTCGAACCTATTAATATATACAGCAGAAGGTTTAAGTATGTTTGGTTCTGGGTGGTTTGAAATCAACATACATGGTCTCAAACACAAATAGTCTTACAAAGCTATCTGAACAGATTTTGTCGATACGGAATATGATCTGTTATTATTATTTTTTTTTTTTTTTTTTGTCCCCTATAAAAAAAATTTTTTATGAATATTTATTCAATGGGGTATAAAATTAAACACAGGAAAATATATTGATTTGAAATATCAAGCAATGCACAAAACTGTCTAGAGATCGATTACTTGTATAATGAATTACGTGTAGGATAAAGCACGAGACTGAGGTTATGCCGGGGAAAGAAAGACTGAAGAAAATAACCCGAGAAAAAGAAAAACCGAGGCCGGCAGGCCCAGTTTTTTTTTTGTCGCGGTTCTTTTTCTGAGAATTTCACAGAATTCCCATAAGAAAAACCTTAGATCATGTTTTATTATGGGAAAAAAAACTTCCCTGAAAGAATAACCCCAAATTCCCCTGTATATATGCAAGGCCGCCCCCGACTTTCAGACTTCAAGTTATTCCAAGCATAGAATATACACCAAAGATCAAAGAGATTTACCGTTACAGATTTATAAAGTATTTGAATATTAAAACCAGCATTTTTCATTACCTTGTTATGCGCAACTTGAGGGATTATCTTCAATATATTTGAATTTGTAACGGGCGTGAATAAATCATACAAATCATATCGCATTCTTTTACCACCAGTCTGAAAAATAACACAATCATATAATTCAGTTCGCGACAGTAAGGGTCGCTTGCCCAACCTCGTGGGGTTTTTCCGGGTGCTCCGGTTTCATCCCACTCCTAAAGACCCCTACCCGCAAATGAATTATTGAAATAAAATTGAACAATATTATTATGTTAGTCCCGAAATGACATAGTTTGTGTCGAGGGGACGTTAAAAGAATCCAAAACGACATAGACTTACCATATGAATCCCTCTGGCGCTGGGTGGGGTGGTGGGGCGTTGAGTCAAATGGCTTGTGTCGAGGGGACGTTAAAAGAATCCAAAACGACGTAGACTTACCATATGAATCCCTCTGGCGCTGGGTTGGGTGGGGGGTCGTTGAGTCAAATGGCTTGGTTTCGGTTCCCCGACTGTACGTGACAAGGATTAGGGTCGCTCGTGCAACCTCGTGGGTTTTCTCCGGGCTCCTCTGGTTTCCTCCCACTGCTAGAGTTTTATCGTAGGCACTTACGACCCGGACTCTTTAATTGTACTCATAATTATTACAGGTGCGAACAGGACATTTTAATTATACTCATAATTATTACAGGTGCGAACAGGACATTTTAATTATACTCATAATTATTACAGGTGCGAAAAGGTGTAGAATTACCATATGGACATCCTGGTGCTGATAAGATCAATAGGTATTTACGACGCGACATTTTAATTATACTCATTACAGGTGCGAACGGGTGTAGACTTACCACATGAACTTCCTGGTGCTGATAAGATCTGAAGGTAACAGGTGAGGTATATCCGTGGGAGAAACTTAACGTAGTTGTAAGATCATGGTAACCTTTCAATAACTCCACAAAGACCTCTAAAAAATGTTTTAAATCAAATGAATGAAATCTAATGAAGTTTAACGTCTTGCTTTTATGTCACTGCCGGGCTATACGTGAAATTGGGCCCCAAAAGCAATGGGCTTCCAGCTGTCAAGGGTTCTTTTACGTGTACGGCACCGAGTGCACTGGACTCGATTTTCGTCCCATTTTCCTTGCCAGGCTTTCCGTCCTGGAGCAATGACAAGGTGGAATCACACCGGAAACTCCCCAAGAACTTTCTTGGCCAACACCGATTCCTCCAGGTCAGCAAAGCAGCACCTAATGCGAGGTTCCCACTGTCGTTACGATTCGATTATCCCTATTGGGTCACTGATGTGGTACCTGCACATACGTTCGGATACGTGTCGATATGATCTCCACGATTGCTATGACTGACCTCAATACATCTATATGATAAGAAAGATAAGATCAAGACGATTCATTCTGATTAAAATACTCTTATATCGAATTCCAACCGCCAAGGGATCTTTTACGCACACGCCAATGTGAACACTGGACTTCAGTTTTTCGTCCCATCCGAACGACTTGACAGCCGTGCTTGCCAGGCTCTCGGTCCTGCACCACTGACAAGGACAAACCACGTCGTAAATTTCTCTATGAACTTTCTCGGCCAATGCAGGGATCGAACACGCGACCTCCAGGATAACGAGCCAGCGTCTTACCCACTTAGCCACCGTGGTTATCCACTGACAATGGGATTTATGAGATAAAATCCAAAAGATGTTTCTGTGGATTAGATCCTGTTTGTATCTATATTTCGTTTCGTTTTTTTATACTTTCGATGGCCTACACTGCTTGAAGATCTAAACGGTTGTAGCGATAGGTTGTCAGAGGTCATACGAGCGGCTTTTGACCGTATGACGTCAGACATTTGATTAACCAATCTGCATTGATGTTACTGGTGGATTACGCACAGTTCCGTGCAAAACACGCCTAAAGCTCGCCGTAACAGACCGTTTCTTTGGTTAATCCTTACACCATTCAGAACACGTCAATGATAACAATTCTTTCAGATCCAAGTGTAGTAAAGACAAGTAGAACGAAATTTTGAACTATAAAAAACGAAACGGAATAGGATCTGTGTTTTGATCAGATTGACGACGCTTGCTCCACGATTTAAACGTGTTGTGAATATTTTGGAAAAGTTTTGGGTTTCATCGACGGTTCGATGAATAATGAAGAAATAATAATAATAGAATTCCATTGATTTAATGTGTACAATGGGATAACAAACAGGAATATCTGACCACAAATGGTTGAATTCCGTTCTGTATTTACGGAGGTATGATGAACTGAAAGTCGGCCACCATTCTTCATCGTCTCAGACCATATAAAAGGGATATGGTCAATAACCAACGCCACCTATCGTCTTAGCTAAAATCTTTTGAAAGGTCTCTTTTAATCGGATTCAATCCAGGCCGTGATATACGTCTTGATTAAATGCTACATAACCCGAGTGAATATATAATGCCATGGATTATGCAGTGAAAACGGGAGATTTGTCCGCACGATTTCGCTCATCCAGCTTCGTTTATTTCATTGTATTGCATTCGACGGCTGATCTCCGGAACCAATCACTTGTTTTTATACAACTTACAATACCTGTTTGTATCCCGCTGTCCACGGGTTTGTCTAAGGCTAAATCTATTTGCTAAGGCCAGCTCAATTTTCGTCAAGGTCGGTGAGATGTAAATACGGTTAGGACACTTGATTTTTGGCGAGATTGTAGGTTAGGGTTGGGATTAGCGTTAGCCCTGTCTACATCTCGTGACCTTTAACCAAACTTGAAGTTGGCCTTATCAAATAATAGACCTAACCATAAACTAATATATTTTATTTTCATGTAGCACGGGCCTCCTGCACTTACTATTTGGAATTAATTCATAAAGGCAGTCTTGGCTACGACCCATGCAACATCCATGACTCAATTTGGAAAAACTTTATTCAAATATATACAGAAAAGAAGAAATCATTTCTTACGTTTTCCTTTGATATCTGAATCATCGAGTCGGTCTCGGGCTCTGTGTAAGGTTTTAAGTGGGCTCGCAGGCGACAATCTACAAAACAAAATACCAGAACAGTAAACGGTGACAAGATAACGATTTGCTGATTAAAAACAATGGCACACTTTTGGGAGTATAATTCGTGGGTTATTGAGGTTTGGCGGGTTGGGTGGCCGAATGGGGAGTGGGAGGGTAGATGGCCGAATGGTTAGCACGTGCGCGCTGTATCATACTGCCTGTCATTGAGTCCACTGGCGTGGTTTCGAGTAGAGTCGCCTGTGCAACCTAGTGGGTTTTCTCCGGGTCCTCCGGTTTCCTCACACTGCTAAAGACCCCTACGCGCAAGCGAATTATTGAAATAAAATTAAACCATATGTTAGTTCCGAAATGAACCAGTTTGTGTCGAGTGGACGTTTACCCCCCCCCCCCCCTCTCTCTCTCTATCTCTCTCTCTCTCTCTCTCTCTCTCTCTGTGGCTAGGTCGGTCCTAACGTTTTGACCTCTGTGTTCCACTGATTATTTACTAGCGAGCGGGTCGACGACTGGATAATCATGACACTGATGCATTTCGTCGAGTCTACCGTTTGTTTCGAGGTCATTTTGACCATTACATTGGTCTACTAAAAATGAAACAGAGCACACCCTTCTTAAATACACACTTATTAGATGACAAAAATGAAACAGACCACGCCCTTCTTAAACATACCCTTAGATACGGCCAAACCGACAGCAATGGCGCTAATTTATATATAACACTTGACAAATATGACTACATATTTATAAATTGCTGGAAATGAAGAAAAACATAATATTACCCTTTATTGCTTAGGTCATCAGATCCAGTAGGACTCACATACAAATGAACAGTTTCGGCTAAAATTCCTGATAATAATAATGTAAAAATGATCACCTTGATCATTGTTAGTGTATGATCTATTTTCGCTGATGTGAAGTTGGAAGTGATTTTCTTGGCTGATAATTAATCTTAAATGGACAGGTGTTCTTTACCCACGATTAGATTTAGAATTGGGAAAGCAAGGAAACGTGGAAGTCTGAGCTAGATAGCAGATAATGACATAAATGAAATGGGGCTTAACGTCCTACTGTTCTGCTCCTAAACTGGGATAATGAAGACGGGCTTACGCCCTATGAAGGAAATTTTGCCCGGGCAGCGGCACTACGGCCTACTTTTATATCGAATTCCAACTGTCAAGGGATCTTTTACGTGTACGCAAATGTGTACACGGTTCTTCACCCCGTCCCGCTCTTCTCGAGAATATGATTTTAACGGATTTTCTCTGTCTTTCAATTGTTTTTTGGTATCAGAAGATGTAGGAAATGCCGTTGGATAACTCAACGGTCAGCCATCTTGTTTGAAGCAGAAACAGGCTTAAGGTTGTACGCAAGCCGTATACCTTGCTTGGGACGTTTGCTTAGATTGACAATGTTTAAGAACGAAGTTGTGCTTAAATTTTTTCTTGGAACACATAATAGCGTGCTTGTGCTTACACTGAAGTCTACTTAAAAGCTAAGCACAAGAACGTTCTTAAGAATTTTCTGGGAACACAAAATAAGATAGGTTTACTTAAACATACATTATGCAAGAGCTAAATCTGTCTATTGCAGGTCTTTCTTTAGACCTGAAATGTTATTTAAATTATTAATTAGACATTAATTAACTTATCCAGACCATAATCAACTGTAGATGGCATCGCTAGCCTGCGATCTTAAGTGGATTGTGAGCTGATTTACTGCATATCTTTCCTTCTCGATTAAACTATTAAATGGATAATCGAGACTATTCTGTTTATCGTACTGACTTTAGTAATGATGACCGAGGCTATGCAGAAATTTCATTCGCTTAGTTCTCAGTTCATAGTGGATCAATTTGAATGAAATTTTCAGCAAATTGCCCTTACCTTATCTAGCTTTTAATTATCATATTGAGAACTGCCAAGTCGTTATCGAATCTCCCATAATATATCTTTAAATGTAAAGTCTACTTAAAATCTAAGCACAAGAACGTGCTTAAGAATTTTCTAGGAATCGGGCCCTGGGTGCAATAGACTTGGTATAGGAAATGCTAGGTACATTAAAATATAGGCAATAGAAGAAATTTCTTGTTATGGCTTGTTTGTGGTATATGATAGGATTCATTATCTTGATTATTTGATTATAATCACAATGTTATACAACAAATTATTATCTCCCCCTTTCTGAGAATTGTAATTAAAGAATGTAATGATATCATAGTTTATATTATGTCTTTGAATCTACCTGAGAGGAATGTGCAACCGTATGACACCTTGATTTAGTTAATATATGATTATTTCTACAAAGATCCAATTATAGTTTCTAATTACACAATGTTAACCATCCAACCATTTAATTACAATAAATCATACAGTTTATTCGGTTCGGCGTAAGATTTAAAATATATAGACACAGTTGGTTTAACTTGAATGTAGATATTAATCATCTATGTTGCACATGTATCACCTTTCTGTTGAATCATATATTATTTGTTGATGTGCATATCGTCTTACATTGTGATGCATTCGATATTATTTATCCATTTTTGTGTAGAAAATCCATGAATTAATCTTATTTTATCAAAAAGCACATGTCCAAAAAATCATCGCTGAATTTGTCACCGATTTTCAGAGAGTGTAACTATGTATGTAATATAGGAGGAGCTAAAACTTCTGTTTAGCAACAAAGTGGCAATGGAAAATAGATACTAAATGATCGCGACAAAACTCGGCATTGACGGTACTAGTATTACATGTAGTTTATTCATTCAGTATCTAATAATGTTTCAATACGTGTGAAAACAATAATCAGGGTTTGTCATTTAATAAAACAAAAGATTAATTAACAGGTAGTCCCGGGTTTATTGTTATTTTCACAGTTCGTTTTACCTGATCGGTGGGGGAGTAGATAATTAACTATTAATCACGGGATTAGCGGAGGTGCTAAGAAGTACAAGAAGATGGTATCATTCAACATTGGCCGTTGAATAAGCGCTATTTTGCTAAATTTATTAATAAAATAGTGACCGCGGGTAACGTTAGAGGCGTGGCCGTTGATTAAAGCGATGAAACAATAGAATTCCTACCGAGGGAATTTATCGTGACCGCTTACAATAAGATGTCGCTGAATGGGAGTGGCTGCTCGTATAGATTCTACTGTATACCCTTTTTATAGATTATGTTTCCGGGAATTATTTCATGTAATATTCTCTGTTCGTCGGCATTTGCGGTAGTCTAATAGGATCTTAATCGGGCGCAGTCCATAACTAGGATATCCCACATGTTATCAAGGGGATTAAACTGTTTGATTCTTATATCTTTTATGTTATGCTAAATTGATCTTTACATATTTTTGATGTTTTATGTTATACTAAACTGCTGGATTATTAGATGTTTTAGGTTATACAAAACTGTTTGATTATTAGATGTTTTAGGTTATACTAAAATATTTATTTTTTGGATGCTGAATATGTGTGACACTACCCTGTGTCTGGGTAGGACTTTCAAGCTGTGTATAAAATATTGCAATGATCAAATAAACCCGGGACATTGTTTTATTATAACTATGTTTGTATATGAAATACAGGAAACTACAGCAACTGTAATAGTGCGTTATGAATTATTATAATATCTACGGTCTTAGTTTTACAAGTCTAGAACTCAGACCTAACGGCTGAAACACTACATGTTGTCTCTAGGCCTCGAGCCAGAGGCTAAGAGTACGTACTTCTAAGAACCATATATGATGCCTGGGTGTCCCTTAGAGTCCTAGAGGGTGGTAAGAGTCACACACTTCTTGGTAGGGAGCTCACATGGTGGCCTCCCTAGGAACTCCAAAATGATGTCTTAAGCGAATATAATTTCGCCCGTTATTTTAATTCAAACCTTTGACTACGTGTGCTAGTAAGGTGGATCCTTGACCATATTTGGATAAGTGTTTCATTAGAGCACGAGGTTACCCAATCATCTTCACAATACCTCTTACACTTTAGAGTTTCTGTCTTAGCTTTGTCAGCTCTGTCTGCGCTGTCCAATCCAGTTACTTCTACATCGACAGTATAGGTTTTTTTATGAAGACTGTTAACCGGAAGCAGGCTGCGATTTGTTCACAACATCACATTGTTTTCAATGTCAAACAGCTGGTCAATCATGTTTATTATTACAGGTTGTGATCAGACGATTCAAGCGGAAATTGGAACATTTGGATCACCAAAAGACCCATAGCCGGCAACTACTGATTTTGGTGTATGTCCCAACCCCTAAGGGTAGATCCACGTCCTATGTTTGTGTTCATCGTATACATGCCACAATTCTGATTGGATTATCTTGCAACTTGGTAAGGTTGGACGGCAACTATTTATTTTGGTGCATGTCCCGCCCCGCCCCCCTTACTGGTGTCACACCCATTTTTTTTATAAATTCTTTGTCTGTAAATACTCTACAGGTTGCAATTATGAATAGATTGTGTTCAAATACCACATATCAATCATTTCAATAACAGGGTTGTACCTATTTATATTGTTCCATCTCCAACTCCCAGGGGCAGAGCCACGCCTATACCTTATACTGTAAAGACAGCAACTATTTATCATGGTGCATGCCCCGACCCCCTGGGGTGGCGTCAAGCCCATCTTTTTGTTAGAAATTAATCTGTAAATTTTGGCAAAACAAATCCAACATCTAGCCGTCTTTGCCTCTTGTCATATTACTGTGGTTTGATCTTGTTATCCAACTCTTGGATACATGAACTAATTCAGACATTCTAAGAGCTTGACCTCCTATATCTGTAGGGGGATCACGTGGCTAAGTGGGTAAAACGCTGGCTCGCTAGCCTGGAGGTCGGGTGTTCGATCCCTGCATTGGCCGAGAAAGTTCATTCAGATTTTCCGGCGTGGTTTCCCCTTGTCAGTGATGCAGGATGGGGGGCCTGACAAGGACAGCTGCCTAGTCGTTCGGATGGGACGAAAAAACGAGATCCCGTATACACATTGGCGTGCACGTAAAAGATCTCTTGGCAGTTGGAATTCGATATAAGAGTAGGCCGTAGCGCCGCTGCCCGGGCAAAATTTCCCTCATAGCACACTGTATGGCGTATGCCCGTCTTTATTAGTCCAGGTTAGGAGCAGAACAGTAGGACGTTAAACCCCATTTCATTTCATTTCATTTCCTATACTTGTAATATTCTTGATTAATACTCTCTATAATGTTACGTACTGCTAACAAATTAAAGAATTAGAATTTTCAAACGTTGTATTTGAAATTAGTAAGATTGAATAAGTTTGTAGATGACCATAATCTAGTATGTTGAAACATAATGTTATGGTTTAGTTTCATGCACAGTCTAGACATGGTTGAGTTTTATACATTAATAGCGATATAACTACTTTTAGACTGGATGTAGTTGAATTGTATTAGTTAATAACTTTATAACTACTTGATTGTTACATTTTATATGTTATGTTTTATATTAATCTGTTTGGATTTCTTTTAAAATTAAGGTACTGTAACAACTGAATCTCAAGGTTAGTGTCATATCATTTAAAGTAGCTAAGTCTCTAACTCAATATCATCCAAAATCTTCAACATTGAAAACACGATTTATTTGTCAAATTTAATCAACATTCATGTTGTGATCTTACCGGAAAAAGATGGGCTTTTGATATCCAATATTTAAGACAAAATAAACATTTTACCATTGGTACACGAATCGTGTACCATAATGCGCTTCAGCCCCAGTTGTATTAAGATACTCGAGGGACGAGGCTAGACACATTGCACCAAATCAAACGGCGTATGTAGACTGGAATAACCAGACGCTAGAAATTTGCACTCGCTTGAGACTGCTGGCTTATTTCGCCGAACATAGC